AACAGTGGAGCCGCGTGCAACGACTGGTCCAGAGGAGGGGTCGGTCGGCCAGGGTGACAGAGACAGGTGCCGGGAGCGGCGTAACTGTGGTGCAGTCGCGGAAGAAGCACCGAGACGCGCCGGAGTCCAGCGTGAAGGTGAGGAAAGCCTCCACAGTAACTGCAACTGTGCTAGCAGTCTCACAAGCACCTACACTCTCAGTCTCTACCGGCTGCTGTCCACCCCTAGAACCGCCACCTCCACCGACTGCTCCACCTCCGCCACCTACACCAGCTCCACCACTACTACCACTCCCATCCCCTCCGCCACCCCCACCACCCCCGCCCCTCCCGCCGCCACCGTCACCCCCACCACCCCCACCACCCCAACTCGTCCTACGCCCACCGCTGCCGCCGCGTCTCCCGCTAGGGGCGGACACAACGCCAACCGCCTCAGTACCGAGGAGGTCAACAGCAGCAGTTGAGGCAGCAGAGGACGTGGGAAGGGAGGGAGCGCACCCCCCCAAAAAAGGAGGTGCTGGGGTGCCACGGGAGGCAGCAACAGCGCAGGCACTGGTCTCGGCCTCGAAGAGACGGGTCTGAAACGAGGCAAGGTCGAGAACAATGGGGTATAGGGAGAGGAAATGGTCGCGAAGAGCACGCAGGGTGTCAGGGAGGTGAGTCGTGAGGAAATACAGGATGAGGTACATGGGGGGCTGGTTCTCAGCCAGGAACTCCGGCGTGAGGGTGGCACAGTAGCGGGAGTCAAGTGAGCGCAGATGGGTCATGAGGTCAGCTACAGTGGTAAAGGTAGACAGCTTGGGGAAGAGAAATGGTAACGCAAGACGGCCTAGGGTGGCAGAAGAGGGGGAGGAGTAGCGCCTAACCACAGCGTCGTAGCAAGCCTGGGCCAACGTGACCTGGCAAAAGTGGGCCCTCTGGTCGAGCGGCAGGTGAGCGCGGACAACAAGCTGGGCGGTGGCGTCGCGTGCTATCCACCGTGCAACCCGGTAATGCTGCTGAACCTCCGCCCCAACGTCAGCAGCAAGCTCAGCTGGAGTCGTGGGGGCCTTAAGGGACCCCGACGTATGCTCGAATAGGGAGACGTCGTCCCTAGTGACACTCTGCAGGTAGTGACACTCTAGCTAGGACTCGAACTCGATAGGCGCTCCTCTGCGTCAAACGCTATGACAGTGATAGTCGTCATGGCAGAAACTAGGTCAGGCATCAGTACTAGGAACTAGCCGCAAATCTAGGCACGGACGGCTGCGCGGGGTACAGCACGGCAGTAGGTGAGCGGCCCGGCAGCAGGCAGAGCGAAAGCATGGCTCGGCGCAGCAGTAGGTAGTAAGGCACAGCGCGGCGCCGGTAGGGCAGCGCGGCACGGCGCGGCGTGGCTGGGCAGGGTGGTGCGGCGCAGCAGGGCGGCGCGGTTGCGGGCAGCGCGGCTGCAGGTGGCGCGGTTATGGGCTACCGGCGGGCTACAGCGAGCCTGAAGCGAACGGCAGCGCGGGCGGCGCACGGGCAGCAGCATGCAGCTGGCGGCAGCTGGCGGTGCGCGGGTTGCGTAGGCGGCGGCGCGGGCAGGGCAGTTCGCGGCGGGAGGGTAGGGCAGAGCGCGCGGCGGCGGGGCAGCGCGTGCGGTAGAGCAGCGGGGCGTGGCGACAAGGCAGCGCGCGACGGCAGGGCAGCGCGGCGCGCGGCGGCAGGGCAGGGCAGGGCATGCGCGGCAGCAGGGCAGGGCAGGGCGCGGCGAGCAGGGCAGCGTGTCGCGCGACTGCAGGGCAGGGTAGGGCACGCGCGGCAGCAGGGCAGGGCAGCGCGCGGTGGGCAGGGCAGGGCAGCACGCGCGACAGGGCAGTGCGGCTCGCGACGGTAGGGCAGGGCAGGGCACGCGCGACAACATGGCAGGGCAGCGCGCAGCAGCATGGTAGTGCGCGGTGGCAGAGCAAGGCAGCGCGCGCGACAGGGCAATGCGACGCGCGGCGGCAGCACGTAGCGCAGAGGTAGCGCGTAGAAGTACGTAGGACAGTAGTAGGAACGGCAGCGTACGGGCCTAACCTACTTGATGATACCATATCAAGAACTTGAGAACATCGGAATGGTGGTGCTAAGCAGCAAGGGAGATACAAGTATGAACCTTAAACGAGTTGTACCCCTTACGGTATGCCTCACTACACCCTACAACACAAATAGAACATTTGACAGAAATTACATGGCGGTTCGTAAGGAATGGATTTTAGCATTTCTAGCATGCACGCACGTCTACGGTACTCGCCAAGTGTTTCCTTCGTCGGAGTTCATTGAGGTGATTCTTAGCATGCACGCACATCTACTCGCCGAGTGTTTTCCTCCTGAGAGTTCATTGTCAGGATATAATTGTATACATTGTTCTATAACTGCCTGTAGTGTAGACTTAGTGTAGTTCTATGTTCTTGTTTGGTGGTGCACCCTCATGCTTGCCTATTTGTAGTCAAGATTCTCTTTAGTGAACCCCTTCTTGTTTGGCCAAACCCTCTCGACCTCCTTCTCGACACTCTCCTTCCTAGCACCATGGCTCCTAAGTTCCTAAGCTACTAAGCATTGTTTAACATGGTATCTAGAGCGAGCTCGTTCCTAGAGCCCTCATCCTTCGGCCCACCGTTAGCTTCCGCCGATACGCCTTTTTTCTGCCCGTCGCGCGCCCCGGGCGTGCGTCGGTTTCCTGCTCGTCGTGCGCCCCGGGCGCGCGGCGATTTCTGCTCGTCGAGCGCCCCGGGCGCGCGGCGGTTTCTGTTCGTCGTGCGCCCCGGGCGCGCGGCGGTTTCTGCTCGTCGTGCGCCCCGGGCGCGCGGCGGTTTCTGCCAGCCGGCGCCTCGTGCGCCTCTGCCCGGCGCCTCGTGCGCCTCTGTCAGCCCGAGCCGTCCTGCCCGAGCGCGCCCTGCCCGCCCGAGCCCGCCCCATCCGATCGCGCACCTCGCCCCCCTCCCCCCCCCTCCCCCCCCCCCTCCCTTCTCTTCCTTCTCCCTACTGCGTGTGCAGCAGTTTGGGGGAGGGGGGGAGGGGGTGTAAGGGGGAGGTGGCAGCAACAGCGCCACCCTGCCTCCACTCTTTCACGGCCGCACCTGCTGCTGTGGGGGGGAAGGGTGGAGTGGTGGGAGTGGCGGGAGGAGCTACTGCCACTGCCGCTCGCCTTCCCCTCTCTCTCCTTGTTGTGCGTGCAACAGTGGGGAGGGGTGGGTTTGGGGTGGCGGGTGTGAGCAACCAGCTGCCGCCCCTCCTCCTCTCTCTCTCACTTCCGCACGTGTCGCTGTGGGGGGGAGGGTGAGGGGGTGGCGGGCTTCTGGACGACGTGTGAAGGCTTGTGCAGGGACCACCGTGGGTGGGGAAGGCTTTGGAGGCATGGTGGGGGGGAAGGCGTGAGGTTTTAGGGGGCGATTGACAAGGGGGGTGAGGTTGAGGGGGGTGGCTGAAAGGGGTTGTGGAATTAGGGGGTTAGTAAGAGGGGCTTGCCCATGGCTCCCCCCACCTCCTCTCCTCATCCCTCTCTCACCCCCCCCTTTTTAAAACGGGGGTTCGTAAGAGGGGCTTGCCCGTTGGCTCCCCCCACCTCCTCTCCTCATCCCTCTCTCACCCCTCCCTTTGTAAAACGGGGGTTCGTAAGAGGGGCTTGCCCGTTGGCTCCCCCCACCTCCTCTCCTCATTCCTCTCCTCTCACCTCTCTCTCTCTCGTCTCCTCCTCCTCGCATTCTTCTCTGCCGTCTTCCGCTGCGCTTGGTGTACCCCTTCCGGGGGTGTTTATGCACATGGTTCTTCACTGCAGGCACTTAGGGGGTGTGTCAAAATATAATTATATACATTGTTCTATAACTGCCTGTAGTGTAGGCTTAGTGTAGTTCTATGTTCTTGTTTGGTGGTGCACCCTCATGCTTGCCTATTTGTACTCAAGATTCTCTTTAGTGAACCCCTTCTTGTTTGGCCAAACCCTCTCGACCTCCTTCTCGACACTCTCCTTCTTAGCTCCATGGCTCCTAAGTTCCTAAGCTACTAAACACTGAAGTGATTCTTAGCACGCACGCACATCTATTCGCCAAGTGTTTTCCCCGTCAGAGTTTATTGAGATTATGAATTTTAACGCACATTTTGTTCGAAGCGCGATAAACGCGCTTCTCCAACTAAAAAAACTGTCAGAATGTTATTATTGTCTAGCCTGCAGTGGGGTACTCAATAGTGAGTACAGCCCTTTAGGGTTTCCTATTTGTACCAACCTGCCTGCTAGTGCAATCATCCTTTTCTCATTTCTGTTTCCGTTCTCATTCTCGCTAGTCCTTGGCGCCTCCTCGTAGTCTTCCTGTGGCCTAGGCTACTTAGCCTAGGCCCTACTGCTAGTGTTTCTGACAAAAACCGTGGGTTTGAGTTCATTCCCGTCCACCCACGTTTCTCTATTTTCAAACGGCTCACTCAACATTTCCACCACCCACCCCAGCGTGAACCGCCCTGCTATAGCCATTTGGATAGAGTAGATCTTAGCTAGTGGTATTAGCATGCACTAGCTTGTGTTTAATCGTGAAACAAATATTGTAATAAGCTAGTTGTGATGAGAACGATGCCAATTGATAAGAACAAGAAAGCAAGTTTTTTCCATGTGATTCTAAGCATCCACGCATATCTACTGGCCAAGTGTTTCCCTTGTGAAAGTTCATTGAGGTGATCATGCACGCACATCTAGTCGCCAAGTGTTTGCCAGTTGATTGAGATGATTCTTTACATGCACGGACATCGAGACATGGTAAATTGAGATGATACTCCAAGATCTTCCCTCGTCAATTTGGGTGGGAGGAGCTCATTATCGAGTCGCCATAGAGTCCATTCAATCCTATCCATTCAATCCTATGGGTTCCAGCTTCATTCTCGAACCGCCATACAAGTTAGGAATCTCCTATTTAAGCTCTCGTGCCTCAGTGGTATCCTCAGATCCAGCTCTCTAATGTAGAAATCGAATTGTGTCAACCCTTACCCATCATTACTCATCCACTGGTCGACATGGCGCCAAAGCGGAAGCGCGGCGTCCGTCGTTCGCGCCAGCAGGAGCAGGTGCGAGACGACTCCCCGGAGGTGCAGGAAGTAGTGTGGGTAGGGGGGAAATTTGTGCCAGTGGTTGATGTTCAACATGTAACGGAGGTTCCGGAGCTAGTAGTCGCGCTGGAGGTAGGACGCGCGCAGCGACTCGTGGAGGACGACGACGAACCGCGAGAATACGGCGCCGGAGGACGACGGAGGGCGGCGCGCGAACGGCGGGAAGATCGTCGTGCGGAGACGAACGGCTCAGATGGAAGCGGGACTCCCCGGATCAAGTGGCTTGGGAAGGGATGCGCGAGTGGCGGCGGTGTTTCTGCATCGAAGCGGCCCGCTGACGTGGTGAAGCAAGAGCGAGCCGCGGGATCAGATGCGCGGGAAGCTGACGTGGCCGCGAGACTCAAAGCCGGGCTGCCAGTGGTTAAGCAAGAGCGAGCCGCGGGCTCAGGTGCGCGGGAAGCTGACGTGGCCACGAGACTCCAAGCCGGGCTGCCAGTGGTGAAACGGGGGGCTGCTAACGTGGCGGAGAAGGAGAGTATCCCTCGCACCAGACGTCTGAACAAGGGCAAGAAACGTTAAAAGTGGTTTCGCCGCTGCACCAACTCTGGAGCGTGAAATATGACAAAAAACGAAGGGCGGGAAATTGGCTGCAAGATGACTAGTACGGGTGGGTGGGAGGAGTTACTAGTAGAGAGGTAGTAAGGAACAGATGGGAAAATCAATGGTTTCGAGTAAGAATAGTGAGAAGCCAGAGTTTCTCCAACCCTGCAAGGTGGTATTCGGCGGAATGTAAGACTCGGTTTCAATGTCGGCTTCGGTTTGTATATATTTCATCTTCTGATCTGCTCGTTGTAACATCTTCCATAGTGGAACTTTCTGATTGCAACTTGGGTTGAGAAACACCCTGTTTCTTCAACCTTGGAACCCGAAACTGCTGAGCTTGCTAGCTCCAGGTTACCTCGTGCTCGGGACGGGAATGCGCCGAGCCCGACGAAGATGCAGAACCTTCTTATTTTGAGGCGCCTCAAAAGTAGACTTCTAGTGACATGCCACGGTACTGACGGTGCCTGCTTCTTCCACGACTCTCTTCTTGACCACCTCTTCCGACCTTCCACTCCCACCCTTCTCTCTCCTCCCGCTCTATCCCCCCCCTTCTCGCTCCCCCAGCGCCCTGGTTCACAGTGCTGGTGGCGGCGTGGGTGCTGTGTGGGCTGGCCGTGGCTGGAACCCATCTGATAAGCTCTCCTTTCTCTCGCCCCCCTCACTCTCTTCCCCCACTATCTTCCCCTCTTTTGCTCGCCCAGCCCCCTGGTTCACAGTGCTGGTGGTGGCATGGGTGCTGTGTGGGCTGGGGGTAGCAGCATGGCTGCTCTACTGGAAGCACTCGCAGTATGTGAATCACAGGGAGGAGGCGCTGGGCGTGTGGTGCAAGGAGCGCGCCCTCATGCTGCAGCAACTCGTGCTTACACATGTGGGGCAACTGCAGGTAAGGTTGGCTTCTCACTCATGCCGGGAAGACCTAAACCCTGGTTGACTTGATGCTACTGTTCTTTGCCGCGGCAAGGAGCGCTCATGCCCTCATGCTGCAGCAGATCGTGCTGACTCATACCGGGCAGATGCAGGCGAGGTTGAATTGGTGTCAGGAGTGCCCCTCTCAACACCTTACATTTTTCATCTTCGTTGCTGTTATGTTACCAGTTTGGCGCCGTCGTCGTTTCCGTTGCCGCCGCTGTTGCCGTTGCCGCTGTTGCTGTCGTCGCCTTTGTCGTGGTTGCGGTCGTCGCCGCGGTGCCTGCGCTTTGTCCCCCCATGCAAATACACTCACAGGGATCATCTCAGTGATGGGCAAGCCGGGGCGGAGGGGCAAGTGGGGGTTGGACACGTGTTTGAATAGAAGCACGTGGGAGGCATACCTCACCCGCACCGCCTATGCCCGCCTGGGCAACACGGGGGCGACCGCGTGTGTCTTTGTCACGGACGAGGAGAGGTGATAGAGGGAAGGGGAGGGAGGAAGGAGGGGGGTTTGGAAGGTGGGACACGGGGGCGACGTTATGCGTCTTTGTCAGGGGCGAGAAGAGGTGAGGGCGCAAGGAGGGATGTGATGGTTGGTTGGTGGGAGGTGGTGGTTGTAAGAGTAACACGGGGATGACTTCGTGCGTTGTCAGGGATGAGGTGAGGTGAGAGAGGGAGGGGGGTGCGGGGGGTGGAGGTGAGGGGGGAGCACAGAGGCGCTCTCGTGTTTCTTTGTCAAGGATGACGAAAGGTGAGGGTAGACGGACTGAGGGAAGGAGCATGTGAGTATGTGCTCACGGGGGGAAGAAGGAAGTTAGTATGTACGTGCCAGTGAGCATGGATTTTGGAATGTCGCAAACATGTGCTAGTATGCCAGGGTGATATTGAGTCGACTCAAAAGCAAGAGTTCTGTGATGTCTCGTGACCCATTCCCCGCTTTCCCCGCATAATTCACCCCACACATTGCTTCAGGTTGTCCTTTGAGCATGTTTTGTTTGTTTTGTTTTGGATTGTTTTGTTTACCCCACCCCACACACATCACCGCAGGGCGACCTTTGAGCGGCCATACGGCAGCATCAGACACAACGCGCTGATCGTCATTTGTTGTTTTGTATATCTTGTGTTCTTTACCCCATGCACACACATATTTGCAGGGCCTCCTTTGAGCGTCAGTACGGCAGCATCACCGCCCTCCGCCCCATCCTTCTTCATTCCCCATCACATCCGTCCTTCCCCTCCCTCCCCCCTCTTTCCCCCCTCTTCTCTACAAACCCGGAGTTCCTCCCACAGGACAGGGTGTGTGCGTTCGCGGGCATGTCGCCCATACAGCTGCTGGAGGAGACGCAGAGGGCCGTGGGTGACCCACAGCTGTCCCACCAGCACGCCTTCCTCAAAGACCAGCAGGACGCCCTCGCCACCCTGCATGCCTTATGATGGGCTGGGGTGGGGATTCTCTTTCTTGCTGCATGCATGCGGTGAGAGAGCTACGGTTGTTCTCTTCACTGAGCATCTACACACTTCTTTGATACCGGGTGGGTGAGCATGTTTCAGATTTCTTGAAAAGAATACGGACCTATGCATGCGTTGTCAACTTAAGTTTCCGCCACAAACGCTGGTTTTTTTGCATGCCATGCCCCCATGCATGCCATGCCCCCCATGCATGCCATGCCCCCATGCATGCCATGCCCCCCCATGCATGCCATGCCCCCATGCATCATGCATGCCATGCCCCCATGCATGCAATAACCCCCATGCATGGCGTGCCCCCATTGATGCCATGCCGCCAGGTGCAGACGCCATCACACGAGGAGCAGTTCGGCAAGCTGCAGCAGGCGAATGCGCAGGTGGAGGTGGAGAAGGTGCAACGCAGGGAGGCCATTCTCAAGGAGGTGAGGGCGGTGAGGGTTTGGACCTAGAGTTGGATGAGCACAAGGACGAGGGGAGGGTGTGGTATGGTGCAAGTGTTTGCTTTGTAGCTTGTGTGACCACTCAGTGGGATGTTGACCCTTGTTAGTTGGTTTCATAGGTGTGCTACTGATGCACTTCGGTTGCCTGCTCCCCTCTTTCCTCCTCTCTCTCGTCCTTCGACTCTGTGTGGGACATTGGACATGGGGGCTTGCAGGTGCGTCCATGGGGCTTGCAGGTGCGTCCACGGGGCTTGCAGGTGAGTAGAGCTTGCAGGTGCGTGGGGCATGGAGGTGCGTGGGGCATGCAGGTGCGTGGGGCATGGAGGTGCGTGGGGCATGGAGGTGCGTGGGGCATGCAGGTGCGTGGGGCATGGAGGTGCGTGGGGCATGGAGGTGCGTGGGGCATGCAGGTGCGTGGGGCATCCAGGTGCGTAAACCCTTTCACCCATGCACTAATCTCCATCCCCGATGCTCCATATCTCATGCCCAATACCCCATACCCCGTGTCCCGTGCCGTGCCCATTGCCCCACGTCCCATGCCCCATGCCCTGTCGTGCCTCAGGAGCTGTGCTTGGAAGAAGGTGGGAGAGATGAGGGACAAGTACGAGCGTCTGCTGGCTGCCGTGGCGGACGCACAGGAGTGAGCAGCAGGTGCGTGGCAGAAGAGATTGAGTTGACGCTAAAGGCAGAAGAAGATGTGGCAGTAAGGCATACATTACGATTTCTTCCTCTTTTTTTTTTCATCATTAAGCATAATCATAACACATGCTCTTTTCTGTAATTCATGAATTTGAGAGCGAAAATGGCAAGATTTATGCAGAAGGTGCATGCTGTTTTTATAACGTGTGCACCTTTCGCAGAAAGCTTGTCATTTTCGCTTTCAGATTCATGAATTACAAAAAGAGCATGTGTTATGATGATGCTTGATGATGGACAACATCTTCTATGCCTTACTGCCACCTTTTGCATCCCAAATAAATATTAGCAGCGGTGTTTGAAATTATCATTCGCATTATAAAAATTAGCACCATCATAACCTACAATCATTTAAAGCATACTCCTCCCCCCTCCCTGCACGCCTCCCGCACGCCACATGCATGACGCCATCCGCACTCGCTCCTTCGCCATCCACTTCTTATGCCGCCACCGTTGCCCTCGCCACCCCTACCTCTCATCTCAATACCCCCCTCTCCACCCCCTTCCCCCCCTGCGTGGGACATAGTGTGCGGAGGCGCTGCACCAGCTGGCAGTGGTGGTGGCGTTTGGTGGAGCGGAGGAGGGCGACGCTGGGGACATACTCATGGCTGTGGCGGCTGTGGATGGTCGACTAGCCGAACTTCTCTATTTCTATGTAAGCGGCTTTGCTTCGATGTAATGGTGATGCTTCCCCTTCCAACTCTTCCAGCACCCCTCTTTCGCCTCCCCACTCGCATCTCACTGGTCTTCCTCTTCTCTCTGCCACCCGCCCACTGCCCCCCCCTACCCCCATATGCTCGCCTGCATGGCCCCAGAGCTTGCACCTGCAGCAGACACTGGCCAAGCCGGTAGAGGCGCTGCTGGGGGAGATGCAGCACGTGGTGGTGAGATGCAGCACGTGGTGGTGAGATGCAGCACGTGGTGGTGAGATGCAGCACGTGGTGGTGAGGTGCAGCATGAATGAGCAATACGTATCCTGTGCGATTGACGTGCCTTGGAAGGTGTGGCCATTACATTCATCATGAGGTGTAAGCTTTGTGGAGATGGTGAAGTACAGGGTGTTTTCTAGCTCATGTAACCGACACAAAAGCCGAATTCATAGGTTGGACCAAAACGACTCTACCTATCAGTCGGCCGATGTGATTTCACCTCTCATTTTCACCTCTCATTTTCACCTCTCATTTTCACCTCTCATTTTCACCTCTCATCCTCACCTCTCATCCTCACCTCTCATCCTCACCTCTCATCCTCACCTCTCATCCTCACCTCTCATCCTCACCTCTCATCCTCACCTCTCATCCTCACCTCTCATCCTCACCTCTCATCCTCACCTCTCATCCTCACCTCTCATCCTCGCCTCTTTTCCTCGCCTCTTTTCCTCGCCTCTTATCCTCACCTCTTTTCCTCGCCTCTTATCCTACCTCTGATCTTCACCTCCCTCCATCTCATCTGCCCTTTGTTTGTCTCACATGCTGGTTCCTCTTCTTCTGTCCTCTGCGCTCCCCCCTCCACCAGGAACAAAAGAGCTCTACGAGCAGAAAAGGTGAGTGTCGTACCAGCCCGGTCCTTCGTTGCTCGGTTTGTATCACGAAACACCCGGAAAATGGCTGTGAACAATGCGCACCGCTTTCAGTGTAAAGTGGAGGCACACGATTGCGAGCACAGTGTTAAAAGTGAGTGGGAGTGACGCACATTAACAAAATGGCTGGATGTTATTGTCAGAAGTGATTGAAAGTAAAAGGGAGTTCAACGCCCCATGTCGATCCATGTGCCTCGCGCCCGGACGAACGCCTTGGCTGTCGCTGTCCCCTATTCCCCTGCCTCTTCCCGCGCCCACAACGCGCGGGCGAGCAGGAGGGTGCATGCAGCAGCAGCAGCAGTGGCGGCCAAGGCGAGGCGCAGAAAGGCGGCCGCTATGGTGGTGATGGGGGACGCAGGGGGGGGCACAGCGGGGGATGCAGAGAGAGGGCGGGGGGGGTCGGAGGAGGAGGAGGTAGCACAGGAGGAGTTTGACGAGGTGGCAATGACGCTGGCGTGCCGCATCCTCGCCCTGCAGCAGCGCCAACCCCGCCTGCTGCTCACCCCTGGCCCTCAAACACAACGCCGCTAAGGTGGGGAAGTTGCATGCACAGTTGCCTCCACCTCAGTGCGATGCCACTTCATGGGCGTCATTCACTCGCTTCCATGTTGCTGGTTGTGGGTTACAAGTTGTTGGTCTCCGTTAGACGGGCAGGGTTTGCGTCGCTGGTGTCGAAGCTACGCCACGAGAACGAGGCGAGGGAGAGACAGCTGCAGGAACTGTCAGAGGAGAGTGACCAGCTGGTGAGGGGCAATCAGCAATGGGGGAAAGGAGTGGTGAAGGGGGAAAGGAGCGGTGAGCGGTGGAAGGAGCGGTAAGAATGGTGAGCCAGTGGTGAGAGCAATGGGGGGAGGAATGAGAAGGGTGTCAAAGGATAGTGTTGATGTGCTTCAGCTGACTTTCCAGCCTTGCATATTCAGGAGAGGTGCTCCTCACACCTCACACCTGCACGTCCTCCCTGCCCCCACAGGGGCACCAGGCGGTGGATTGGCAGCAGGATATGGTGAACGCGCGGAGGTACGAGGCGACCCGTGAGCAGCGGCTGGCCAGGGCGCAGGAGGAGGTGCAGCAGCTACAGACAAAGCTGGCCGCCCTGCCGGAGGTGGAACCGCCCACGGCTGATGCGGTGCGTGATGGGAATGGGGGATGAGGGAGGGAGCACAAGGCGTGGGGCATGATGAGACCATGGGTGGGGGCAACCTCGGGTAAAGCGGCAGCAGCTGCAGGCTCAGTTCGCCGCCCTGCTGCAAGTGGAACCACCACGGCTGCTGTGGCTCGATGCAGGAGGCTGGGACGTATGAAGTCCTGGATGCTGTGGGGTATGATATCATGGATGAGGGTGAACACTGAGTGGGAGGGTGCGCGTGTGTTCTAGGGCAAGCTCGCACACAGGAGGACGTGCAGCAGCTGCACGCTCAGCTCACTGCCCTGCTGTAAATGAAACTGCTGGCAGCCGCTGTGGTGGAAGGTTCCAGCACAAACAAGGCATGGGGCGTGCGGAATGGATAACGGTCGTTTCTAGTGGGGTTTGGGGGTATGTGGGATGGTGTATGGGGGATGGCCGGGGGGCATGGTCGTGGGCCAGGAGGAGACTCACGGGCAAGGCAGTGAGTGGGTGTGTGTGTGTGCACTCTAGTGCAAGTGCGGGGAGAGCTGCAGGATGACTGGTAGCTCTGTGCCACGCCCAGCCAGGCGAAGTGAGAGGTGGCACGGCACCGAGGGTATTTGTGAGTGTGAAGCCAGAGGTGGAGGATGGAAGTTGAACCCTAAACCCTTGTCTTTGCTGGTGGCAGGATCCCTTGGCGAAGCGAGGGAGGGAGCTGCGGATGCAGGCAGGGGAGAAGTGCGAGGGTCGGCTGAGCGCCCTGAGGGAGCAGCTGGGGCGCGTGGAGAGACGGTGAGATGGGGTGAGAGGGGGTTGAGAGGCGGTTGGAGGGGGTGAGAGGCGGTGCGATGGGGTGAGGAGGTGAGAGGATGAGCGACGGTGAGAAGGGGGAGGAGAGGGAGGGTGAGAGGGTGGGGGTGTCGGGGAGGGGGGGTGTTGCTGGTGAGGAACAGTTTAGGGGAGGACTGGGTTATTGTTGCCGAGCAAGTTGGGAGGTGAGGAGAGTTTCAAATAAATCTGGTGGGCTGGATCTAGGTTTGGCTGCCATGAGTCGGACATTGGATGGTCGTAGCAGGATAGGGACTGTCTATGTTGTATGGTGTGACCACGCCTGAAGATGGAGCGTCCTTGGCGGCCATGATCAAAGACTTGAATATCCCTGATTCCCTGAGCTTGATGAGGACATGTAGAAACTGTCTCGGGAAATTTTGAACCGACCAAGGGTGAAATTTCTACGATCCAACATCGTTGTTGCCAAGACATGGGATCAAGAGGTGAAGAAATGCGTGTTCGGAGCGGATGTGAGACGGGATAATGGTAACCACTTTTCGGTAGAGTTGCAGCTGCTGAGGTCGTGTGGGTGCGGTGGCCGGCTAGAGCGTCAGCAGCAGAGGTAGTCAGGGTTGCATCGACTGTAATTGGCTGCTTTTGTTGATGCTGTTCTGGCCGACCACCGCTCCCACACCTTTCAACGGCTGCAACTCGGCCGGAAGGTGGATGCCGCAATCTCGTCTCGCATCAACTCTGAACTTGCGTTTCTACACCTCTTCAAGCTATTTCTTGGCAACGTCGATGTGGCACTGGAAATACTACCTCAGCGGGTTCGAAATTTTCTGAAACCAGGTTCCACATGTTCTCATCAGATTCGGGGGTGTTCACGACTCTGCTCATGGTCGTCGAGGCCGCTCCGTCCCAAGGCGTGGCGACTTGCTTCTCAACTTCATTCTACCCGCACCACCAGCTAAAAAATCCATGAATCTTACTTGGCCATCACCTTGGGGTATGCCTCCGCCATCAGTGCTTCCGCGTCTTCACCAACTTCGCCGCTGCCTGAGTTGGCTGCCGATGCGCGTGTCTAGTCTCGTTGGAAGCAGCTGCGGGGTGGGTAGCTGCTAACCCCCTGCGCCATTCGGACTGACAACGGGTGAGACAGCTGTGCTGCAATTCACTTCCCTTCCTGGTTGTTTTTCAATCCCTTCTCCCGTCTCGCCTATCCTCCCTCCTCCCCTATGCGCTCTGCTTCTCTCCTTCTCGAGCAGAAACGTAACCTGGTGGCATTGTTGGGGCGGAGTGAGGACGTGGAGGAGGTGGAGAGGAGGGAGCGGGCAGAGATTGCTCAGAGCATGGAGCGGCAGCTGGGCATGGAGCATGGAGCGGACATTGCCAAGAAGACACACGTGGGTGGCAGCCACCCACTGCTGCACGGGCGTTGTAGAGAGAGCGAAGACGACGAGGGTAGGCGAATTTTGAGAGCCACTGGGGGTTTAGGGAGTGGAGGCGAGGGCATGGGGTGGGTGGGCATTGATAAAGGCATGGAGAGAGGCAGCTGAGCAATGCCAGGAAGACACGTGTGAGTGCCACTGCACCTGCACGCCCCCATGCAGATCAAACTGCTCTCTTCTTTCCCTTCGCCTCTGCCATTTTGTTTGCTCTCACTCCCATGTTCTTTGCAAGAACCACTGCTTCAAGATGGTGCATCGATGTTGTGAAAGGCACTAACGAAACAACTGAGCCTCGCTCCAACATGGACCTTCTGTGCGCTTCCCCCTCCCCTCCTCCCCCCCACCCCGACCTCCCTCCCCATGTGCACCTCCCCCAGAAGCACCTGCTGAGCCTGTGGCAGGAGAAGCGGCGCCTCTCATCCCTAAAACCCGCTGTGGACGAGCTCTCCATCCTGGTAACTTCCCACGAGCTCTCGTTCCTGGTAACTTCCCACGAGCTCTCGTTCCTGGTAACTTCCCACGAGCTCTCGTTCCTGGTAACTTCCCACGAGCTCTCGTTCCTGGTAACTTCCCACGAGCTCTCGTTCCTGGTAACTTCCCACGAGCTCTCGTTCCTGGTAACTTCCCACGAGCTCTCGTTCCTGGTAACTTCCCACGAGCTCTCGTTCCTGGTAACTTCCCACGAGCTCTCGTTCCTGGTAACTTCCCACGAGCTCTCCATCCTGGTAACTTCCCACGAGCTCTCGTTCCTGGTAACTTCCCACAAACTTGCCTTCTGACATGTGTAACATCAAATGCGTGCAACATGCTCATGTCATGTGCGCCACTTGCGATTAACCATGCCCCACATGCCATGCCCATGCATGCGCCATGCCATCCCCCACCAGGTGCATGAGTGCTATGGCATAATTTATGCACACGCACAACCCCCACGTGCTGCAGCAGTTCCAAGAGCGGCAAGAGCAGGTGAGAAGGGAGGGGGAAAAAAGGGTGCGTACACATGGGCAGACTCTCGCAACCTCCACGTGCTGCAGCAGTTCCAGGAACGAGGTGAAAGGGAGGAGGTGAGAACCTCTCCTTTTCATGCCTGTACAGACTATACCTGCCCCCATTCCCCTTGTCCATTTACCCAATACCCCCACCCCACCCACCCGGCCCCCTGTGCCCCCCCCCTCCCCATGTGTGTGTGTGTGCAGCAGATTCGCAGCATGCAGGGCAAGGTGGGGAGTGAGAGGCGGCAGCTTCAGGTGCTCAGGGCAGAGGTGGAGCGCGTGCAGGTGATTATAAGGGGGTGGGGAGAGATACAATTGTTATAGAGGTTTGTCCGTGTGATTGTAGTCGTAGTAACGGATTTAGTCAGTTCCATGTTGATGGGCGAGTTACGTTGAGAGGATGTAGGTGACATAAATGGGGGGAAAAGGGAGGGGGGGGGGTGGGGAGGAGAGAGAGACATGTGCAGCTGAGACATGCAATGAGGAACGTTCTTTGGCCGCTGCCACATGTTATCAACTCATGCATGCACCATCCCATCCCCATCTACCACTCCCCATAAACCCACTTGCCAGTGCCACGTGCCACCAATACCATCTGCCACGTGGCACCATCTCATCCACATCTGCCACGTGGCATAATCCTATCTCCACCTGCCACGTGGAACCATCTCATCTCCAGGGTCTCTGGCTGCCCCGCCTCCGCTCGCTGATCGTTCGCATCAACGAGGCCTTCTCCAGAAACTTCCTGGAAATGGCCATTACTGGAGAGGTGGCTCTAGGTGAGCAAGGGAAGAGTGGAGGGGAGAGGGTGGAGGGGAGAGGGTGGGGGGGAGGAAACGTGAGAACGTGTGAGTGTGGAGGGAAAGCAAGTGAAGGGAGGTTGGCAAGGAGAGAGGGGGTGAAGTGCGAGAAGGTGAGGTAGGGGAGAGAGTGATGTCGAGCCCATGCTATGGGGGGAGAGGAAGGTAGGGAGGAAGGGAAGGATGGGCGTGAAGGGGGAGCAAGGGAAATGGCAGCTCTTCCCTTTTTCATTTTCCATTCGCAACCCACCATACCATACCATGACAACGAAATACTTGATCTCAGAAGTCCCAAACATCGGTGTGAACCAAAAAAAGAACAGCATCGATCATCCGATGGAACTGTGGCTCATTTTTCCATTTGAGGAAGGTTCTTCAGCCGAAGCTACCATTCCGGATGATGTTTTCGTGGAAGCGCGAAGGGACTATCTGAAGGGCAAGTACGATGTGACTTTGGTCGATGCGTTCGCTTTGGCTGCCCTTCAACTCCGCATCTACTTCAATGACTTACCAGGTGCCTCCCTCAACAACGCATACGTTTGAGCCACTGGTACGTCATCGAAGTCGATGCGAAGTTGAAGGGCAGCCAAAGCGAACACGTCAACCAGATTCACAGCGTACTTGCCCTTCAGATAGTCTTTTCTCGCTTCCACGAAAACATAATCCGAAACGGTAGCTTCGGCTGAAGAGCCTTCCTCAAATGGGAAAACCAGCCACCGTTCAATCAGCTGACTTCATAACATCTCAGAAGTTTCAGCCAACACATTGCCACGTGTGCTCGCTCGCTCCTCTCCCCATCATCGCACCTCCCCCCATCATCGCAACTCTCCCCATCATCAAATCTCCCCCATTATCTCACCTCCCGCTACTTGTCCATCTTCAAATGAAAGGGGCGCTGACTTTTGTTCATATGGCATTCGAATTCGAGTCAAGTTCAGGTGATTCATTGTCAGGTGAATCTGTTCAGCTTCAGGTGGATGATAACGCCCCATTGGAATGGCAAGTTTAGTTCATTGCGGGTCCCTTTAAATAAATGTCGTAATTCAACTTCCAACGCCAATTTGTCAAAAGCCGTCCTAAGCTTGAGATTGTATTGCATCACTTTCTATCCCTTGTCACTTTAAATCCTTTTCAATCCCTTGGGAAACATGCAATTTCTTGTAAATACACAGATCTTAAAAGAACCACACATGTGTTTTAGTCCTCCTTACAAGTCTTTTCAACTCCCTTCTCATTGGCTCCCTTCCTCCCCCTACCCTTCCGCCCCTTTTTTTGCCCCTGTCCCCTCTGCCCTGTGCTTTTCATGTGGTGCTCCATGCATGCATCAGGGAGTGTGCAGAGCTGCAAGACCTGAGTGCGCATCTCCTGTCTGGAGGGGTGCGTTCCTAAAAAGGGGCCTTGTTGTGCTTGTGGTGCTGCTCCTAGTGTTGTCGCCTTGCCGTTTCTTCTTACGTTGCTGTTTCCTTTCATTATACCCCCTTCCTTCAACTTTCGTCCGCCATTCTCTACCTGTTCTCTCTATACAGCGTACATGCATAACACGCAATCTACTGGACACAGGGCATCACGCTCCGCAGCTTCCTCGCTCGCCCCCCCATTCACATCCTTCCTTCCCCACTGCCGCGACCGCTCTGTGTCCACAGGCCGGTATCTAGCGTCGCACACAGGGCTTGACGCGCAGCCTGTCAATCACATGCTGACTTCCCTTTCCGTTATGCTTTTCCTTCCTCACCTGCCGCGACCGCTCTGTGTTCCACGGCAGGACATGCAATCACATGCTGACTTCTCTTTCCGTTATGCTTTTCCTTCCTCACCTGCCGCGACCGCTCTGTGTTCCACGGCAGGACATGCAATCACATGCTGACTTCCCTTTCCGTTATGCTTTTCCTTCCTCACCTGCCGCGACCGCTCTGTGTTCCACGGCAGGACATGCAATCACATGCTGACTTCCCTTTCCGTTATGCTTTTCCTTCCTCACCTGCCGCGACCGCTCTGTGTTCCACGGCAGGACATGCAATCACATGCTGACTTCCCTTTCCGTTATGCTTTTCCTTCCTCACCTGCCGCGACCGCTCTGTGTTCCACGGCAGGACATGCAATCACATGCTGACTTCCCTTTCCGTTATGCTTTTCCTTCCTCACCTGCCGTGACCGCTCTGTGTTCCACGGCAGGACATGCAATCACATGCTGACTTCCCTTTCCGTTATGCTTTTCCTTCCTCACCTGCCGCGACCGCTCTGTGTTCCACGGCAGGACATGCAATCACATGCTGACTTCCCTTTCCGTTATGCTTTTCCTTCCTTACCTTCCGTTCCTTTCCCCTCACGCCAGGAGCGCTCTGTGTCAACGATCCTCTAGCAGGTGTTGCTGCAGGGCTGGACGTGGTGCCCGTGCCAAAACAGGACATGTGATTCCTTCCTTTCCTTGTCTCGTGCCTCCGCATGCCCTCCCGTACCCTCCCTTCCCTGGCCCCCTTCCAGGAGCACCCTGTATCAACGATCCTGTACCTGGTGTCGCTGCAAGTCCTGCACATGCAATAACATGCTGCCTTGCCCATTGCCTTCCCTACTCTCCCCATGCCAGGAGCGCTCCGTATCAACCATCCTGTACCTGGTGTCGCTGCAGGACTTAACGCGGTGTCCGTTCCGAGTGGTGGATGAGATCAACCAGGGCATGGACCCCACCAACGAGCGCAACATGTTCCAACAGCTCGTGCGCGCCGCCACCCACGACCACACCCCACAGTGAGTGGCGCCGCCACCCACGACCACACCCCGCAGTGAGTGGCGCCGCCACCCACGACCACACCCCGTAGTGAGTGGCGCCGCCACCCACGACCACACCCCGCAGTGAGTGGCGCCGCCACCCACGACCACACCCCGTAGTGAGTGTGCAACCAGGTCACATAATTTGGTGTGTTTGGTGCGGGTGTGGAGGACATAAAGATAAGTCAACAGTCAATGTTAACATGTGCTCCTTTCGGCCTCCCCCGTGGACCCCTCCTCCCCCCTGCAGGTGCTTCCTGCTGACGCCAAAGCTCCTGCCAGACTTAGACTATGGCGAGGCATACACGGTGCACTGCGTCATGAATGGCGTGCATGCCGCTCCCCTTGCCTCCACTCCTGGTGAGTGCCATGAGGAGAGGTGACTTGAGTTGACTTGAGTTGACTTTGTTGACTTGAGCTGAGTTGGCCTATGGGAAGGCGTCCATGGTGCATTGTGTGATGATTGGCGTGCATTTTGTGCCTCTCGCAGCCACTTGTGAACAGTCTTGTGAGCAAAGGTGGCTTGACTTGGTTTGACTTGAGCTGACGTGGGTTGAGTTGAGGTCACTGGAGCCAACTTGATTCTATGAACTGACCTGAGTTCACTTGGGTTCACTTGACTTGACAGTGAGTTGAGCCGAGTTAGATAGAGCAAAATAAGGTGAGGCGCGAGTTCACCTGTGTTGACTGGAGTTAACTCGAGCCCCATGCACAGCCTTATACATATTCCAACATGTGATATTATCTATGTATTTCCCCTGGTATGTGGCTCGCTTGCTTCCTTTCAGGGTTCAAGCAAGGTGAAGCATTGTGGGACTCGCTCCGACAAAGCGCTGCAGATGCTTAGGGTGTTTCTGCCTCCCTTCTCCCACCAACCAAGTCTCAGACTCATGTCGCACGTGCTGAAGGTCAGTGACTGAACCGCATGAGTGTGCCTAACGGGCTCATTTGACAGCGTTGGAGTCAGCTCGTGCCAGCAAGTTGCAGCTGGAGGAAAAGGTGTTGGAGGGTAGGACAGGACAGGGCGAGTGGGACGAGAGCAGAAGGCAGCGTTGCAGTATTACACAGAAACCGCAGGCAGAGGCGAGCTTAGCCTCTGGAAGCGATATAAGAAAGTAGAATTAGATGGTTTGGATGTAGGCGCTACGAGCGCTTGCGACCTTCATTGCTTGTACAGTGTATTCTTCTGCAATACAAATGTTTTTGCCGATCTTGTGCAAGCGGTAGTTGCATAGGGTATAACACGGCAATGAGCAGTGGCTAGAAAATAGATAGGCGTGAGGTGAAATAGGTGAGATAGGTGAGCAGAGAGATAGGTGAGCAGAGAGGTGAGATAGGTGAGCAGGGAGCTCATCACATACCGTACAAGCAATCAGCCGGCAGGTCCCATAAGGAGGGCGAGGATGGCCGCAGCTGGGCACGGGAAGGGCAGGTGTGAGTGAGAGACATCAGGGTGAGGCACAGGAGAAGCAAGCAAGAGAGTTGGCAGGACCATGAGAAGAGAAATAACCAGAGAGAGGCAGAATGCAAAGGACAGATAAGGGGTAGGAGTTGGGGGATGAAAGAGAGAAGGGGGGAGAGAGTACAGCGGAGCAAGTGAGTGGTGTCATATTAATAGATTTCTGCTAGGCACCTGTGGCTGAGAATTGAGAGATATTCAATGGTGTTGCCGGAATCCAGTGACGTTTACATGCCATGAGATAGCATGGCGAGCCAACTCTCCAGGAGCATGGACACATGCCACCAGCAGCGTCGGAAAGTGTCAGGCTCCACACTCTTCCACGCCTCCACCAACCACCGTACCACCTCCCACGCCTTTAGTTTCGGGGTTTGTCTCGTTTCAGTGCCCATTCGCGTCCCACCACCCACGCAACTCGCTCACACGCGTGACCCGGAACCGTGCATTCACAGAGGAAATTATTCCCCGGTCCATCGATGTGTGAAGCATGCCGTGTTGGACCAGGGAATAACTTCCTCTGGGCAAGGTACACGAGGAGCGCACTGCTGAGCTTCCGTGTCTGGAACCCCATTATATCCTTGTGGGTGGTGGCATCTGAATCTACACAATGGCTTAAGGCAATGTCCAGACAACTCCTATGCACGTAGGGCAAAACGAAGGGAAGGTTTTTTTTGTAGCCAGTGGAAGGAGCTTGGCCATAATTTCGGATGGCTCCCATCTCATCCTATGCTGATCATGACCAGTGAGTGGCTTTTCGAATTGGATCACCTTGATGCGCCTCCCGGAGTCAATCACATCTACTCACCTCGTTCACATAAACTCACCACATCTTAAGGAGCAAAGCTAAGGCAACAACAACAGGCGCCGCGCCGCACACAACAGATGGCAGCACAGCAAGGACCCCTGCCAGCACAGCAAGGACCCCTGCCAGCACAGCAAAAACCACCCCTGCCAGCACAGCAAGAACCCCTTTGAACAGCAACGTTCCCCTCCAGACTGGTGGTGTGCACTCAAGTCCTGCAGCTCTGCACTCTCCCTGATGCATGCATTTATCACCACATCAAGAGCACAAAGCAGGGGGTGACAAGAGCAGAAGAAGGGGCAGGAGGGCAGGGGGAGACAGGGAGGCCATGAGAAGAAATACAAGGCAATGGGCAGAGACTTGTGGGTAGAACTGGATGAAACGCGAAAGCACAAGTGCTGCTTTTTTTAGATGTGTACATTCACATGAAAATGCATGTCTGTAGGAAAGGAACTCAAGGGAGTGTGTGGGATGGGATGGGATGACACAGAAGCTGATGGGGGCTTTTGACGAAGAGGCAGTAAAGAAAGGGCATTCAAGGAACCTGCAATAAACCACACTTGGTATTCCAGTGGTGCATTATCATTCACTTTAGACTGAACCATCTGGTGCTGAATCACCTGAAACTGAACCACCTGAACTGAATTACCTGAGACTGAACCACCTGCTGCTGAGCCACCTGAACTGAATCACCTGAAGCTGAATCACCTGAACTTGACTCGGATTCAAATGCCGTATGAGCGAAAGTCAGCCCCCCTTTCATCTGAAGGGAGACTAGGAGGGGGTGGTGCGAAAATGGGGGGAGGTGCGATGATGGGAGTTGGTGAGGTGGGAACACACATGGCAACTTGTTGGCTGAAAGGGATTGGAACTTTTGAAATGGAAAACGAGATGGGGAGAGCTGGCAATTTACCCTTGCTCCTCCTTCCTCCCCACCCTTCCCGGCCTAACCTTCCTTTCACAACTCCTTGCCCCACCTCAGCTTGCCACATACCGGACTATCCCCTTCCAGTCGCCATCTCCCCACCCACCCGACTGCTATTGCGATGAATCAAAGGTGCTCCTTTATTAGAAGCAGTGCTCCATGCCGTCAACTCAAAACAGTGCCCTCCTCTACCACGCGTTATCACAATGCATTCCCTCCCTCTGAGCCAACCTCCATACACTTGCTTCCCCTTCCCACTCACACATTCTCACGCTCCCTTTCCCCCCTCCCCCCTCATCACCCTTTCCCCTCCGCTCTTCCCTCACTCACCTAGCGCCACCTCCCCGGCAACGGCCAATTCCTGGAAGTTTCTGGAGAAGGCCTCGTTGATGCGAACGATCAGTGAGCGGAGGCGCGGCAGCCAGATACCCTGGGGATGGGATGGTGCCACGTGGCAGATGGTAGATGGTGGTGGTGTTGGCGGGATGGTGCCACATGGCAGATGGTGGTGGGATAAGATGTGCGGCAGAGGTAAAAGAATGAAGCACATGGCAAATGGAATGCGATGATGGCAGTCCCAACCCCCCCCCTGTCTGACCTGAACCCTCTCCTGCACTGCATCTCCCCCCATCCCCTTACAATCACCTGCACCCATTACAGTCACACCCCCACGCTCACCTGCACGCGTTCCACCTCCGACTTGAGCTCCTCCAGCTGCTACAGTAACATCATTATAGTCACACCCATTACAGAAGCACCCATTATAGTCACACCCATTACAGAAGCACCCATTACAGAAGCACCCATTACAGTCACGACCCCCCCTTATAATCACCTGCACGCGCTCCACCTCCGTCCTGAGCCCCTCCAGCTGCTGCCTGTCACACTCCACCTTGCGCTGCATGCTGCGGATCTGCATAAGGAGAGGGAGAAGGGAGGGGGATGGGGAGGAATATGGAGGAGAACGCGCGGTAAATGGACGATGCGAATGGCGGGAATGATGAGAGTGGGGAAAATGGTAGCCTTGACGGGTGGATTGTGTGGTCTCTCACTCTCCACCTTGGCCCGCATAAAGTTGGGGTTGGCCGGGAGGAAGTGGGAGCGAGGAAAAGGCAACAGGTGGTGGAGACAAGAGTTGGGCAGCTGCTACCCCATCCAGCCTCCTTTTTGACCGGCACATGCAGAATGCGTTTTAAAAGTTGCAGCAACTTGGAACGTGCCCCAGTCGCCCACTGCTACTGCTGCTGCCACATGTGTGGGCTATTTTGCTGCATCTATAGTCTCGCACCTCTTCTTTCAGCTTTTTTCCCGCCAGCTCTTCAGGTGCTTTTAGGTGTGTGCCACTCCCACCTACTCTTTCTCCCACTCACCTCCTCTCTCCCCCTTTCTACTCACCTGCTCCTGCCGCTCTTGGAACTGCTGCAGCACGTGGGGTTCGAAAGTGTTCTATGTGTGTGTCCCTCACTCCCCAACCCTTTTTTTTGCGCTCACCTCCTTTCCCCATCCCCTACCCCCCCTCACCTGCTCCTGCCGTTCTTGGAACTGCTGCAGCACGTGGGGGTTGGGGCACACAATGCGGTTCGCCTGCCCTATGCGCTCCTCCACCTCCTCCTGTAGCTCCTCCAACGAGTCGGGCAGCTGAGGGAATGCCAAAAAACAACACAACACAACACACCACATCACACCACACCACACCACACCACACCACACCACACCACACCACACCACACCACACCACACCACACCATTCCTGTTGTTGTTGCGGTTGTTGGCGTTGCGGTTGTTGGCGTTGCGGTTGTTGTTGCTGTTGTTGTTGCTGTTGTTGTTGCTGTTGCTGTTGCTGTTGCTGTTGCTGTTGCTGGTGCTGTTGCTGGTGCTGTTGCTGGTGCTGTTGCTGGTGCTGTTGCTGGTGCTGTTGCTGTTGCTGTTGCTGTTGCTGTTGCTGTTGCTGGTGCTGTTGCTGGTACGGTTTCTGTTGCTGTTGCTGTTGCTGTTGCTGTTGCTGTTGCTCGTGCTGTTGCTCGTGCTGTTGCTCGTGCTGTTGCTATTCTGGTTGGTTGTTCTGGTTGGTTGTTCTGGTTGGTTGTTGTGGTTGGTTGTTGTGTTTGGTAGTTGAGGTTGGTTGCTGTGGTTGGTTGTTGTGGTTGGTTGTCGTGGTTAGTTGTTGTGGTTGTTGATGTTCCATTGTCAAATGTGATGTTCCCAGATTCACTGATGTTGAAGCTTACGGTGCTGTTGCAAAGAACTGTCACATAAACTGCATAAATTGTTATTGCATCGCAGGATCAAGCGGTGCTGAATGAGATTCTATGCCAAAACCATATTTGGGGTTGAGTGTAGGTGACGGATAAAGCCCACCAGCGCCTCCTACAGTTGTTGCTGACGAATGTTAAGCCTGATAATGGAGGAGTGAAGGAGTGTGAGCTCCACCACTTCTACCACGTTGGTGGAAATTCTTGCCATGATGTCCTCCTTACATGACCGGGGTGAGTATACCATATTGATATACTACAATCGCTAGCACCTAGTGCACTCGGTAAAAATGTGTAGTTTTGTAGCTCCCTTTACATGTTGGGCTGAGTAGTACATTTTAGAAATCAAGCTGTATTGCAGCGGAAGTCTTGAATTTCTGAGTTGGTGTATGAGAAGAAGAATCAATATCTATAAAAGGTGCAAATAGTATATAGTCCTAGAAAGTAACTATTTCATGATGTACATGTTCGCTCAATCGAGCTTTTACGAGTCGTCACTCTAAGCGGTACTACCGCTGAAGCGTCAGCGATTAGTCATGACTCATGAGACTGATCACCCTCCTAACAGTTCGTGATTAGTCCTGTCAGTTTAGGTCCCGAATGGTCCCGTGAGTAGCGCTGTGAGCGCGCGAGTGCGCGACATGACAGGCAGGCGTTTCAGGCGACTGTATCTTGGTACGATGGGCCCTCTGTTGTTAATAAGTAGGGTCACTAGATCAAGGAAGGAACATTGCAAAGCATTCCACGCTCACTCATCGCATCTCTGCTTCCTATTTCCAAGGCTTGTTCGGTGAACCCTTTTCTCCCTGCCATGGCTCCCCTCATTTCCTCCTACAACGAGAATGTCCGTCCGATGCTCGACGCGATCGACAAGCTGCGAGACCTGGGTCTCAAGGAGGAAGGAATCGAGCTCCCGACGATCGTCGTCGTTGGTGACCAATCCAGCGGCAAATCGTCTGTGTCGGGAATCAGCCTGCCGAGAGGCAAGGGGATCGTTACTCGCGTGCCGTTGATCCTGAGGCTCCAATCGTGCTCCGACGGTCAGGATGAGATCACGACTGATTACACCCCTGTCACCGGGAAAGTGTCCAAAGTTCTACCTGATGAAGCGATGATCGAGCAGGCGATTTCTGAGGCAACAGTGGCTCTAGCTGGCAGCCGGAAAGGCGTCATGAATTGTCCAATTACCCTGCAAGTGCGGCGACCGGACTTGCCTATCCTAACCCTCATAGATCTGCCTGGAATCACACGCGTTCCTATCGAGGATCAGCCGAAGGACATCTACGATCAGGTGAAGGCGATGATCATGACCTACATCACTCCGAAGGAGAGCGTGATTCTGAACGTGCTGGCAGCGGAGGTGGATTTCTCCACGTGCGAGTCCATCGTCATGTCGCAAGAGGTGGACCCTGACGGCGATCGCACCCTCGCTGTCGTCACCAAGGTCGACCGCGCGCCTGACGGGCTCTACGAGAAAATCCAAGGGAATTCCGTGCGGATCGGGCTTGGATACGTGTGTGTCAGGAACAAGACTGACGCGGATGCCACTCATGAAGATGCACGGAGAGCAGAAGCGATTTCCTTCAACAGCCATCCGGAATTGAGACAAATTGAGTCGCAGTCCCTTGGGATTCCCGCCTTGGCTGAACGCCTGACAGAGATTCAGGCTAAGCGGGTGGCAGAAAGCATCCCGAGGATCAGGCAAGCATCCAGAAGGCGCTCGCTGCAAAGCAGTCTGAATTGCAGACAATCCCGCCTGCAGCCACGTCCACCGCTGCTGCTCTGGGAGTAATTTCTTCAGCCATTCAGGAGCGACGTGACCTGATGAGCGGCCTCATCGGCGGGAGGTATGATTCGTTTCAGAGCGACGAGGAGATGCACTACGCTGCAAGGCTGCACGAGAAATTCATCAAATTCGAGGCTGACATGCGAGGTGCTCTCCCGAATTTCCTAGGTGCAGACTACACTGAAAGGTGCAAAAAGGCGTTGAAAGAGGTGGCGGGGATTTCACTCCCTAACATGCTGGATCACGCTGCTGTGAGGCAGCTGGTTCAGGAGGTGGTGGGGGGCATCGAAGGGCTGTGCATGCTCCTGGTGACTGACTGCTTTGCGTATGCGACCAAGGTGCAGGAAGCTGCGGTGTCTGACGTCTGCGGGGTATACCCCGAGCTGAGCAGCGTGGCTCAACTTCAGGGGCTGAATTCCCTGAGGGAGACCCAAGAGTCTGCAAGCCGCTTCATTCAGGACATGCTGAAAAAGGAAAAGAAAGTGATATTTACGGTCAACCACTACTACATGGATACTGTTTCTAAAATCCATGCGAGTATGGCCGAGTACAGCAGAGCCAAGGCATATACACCTGTTCATACCCACCCTCCTGTACCCTCTGTTGAGGATATCGCGTCCAGCACTGCTTCACTCGCTAACCTGATAAGCAATAACGACCAGGCAGCCAGGGACCTGCAGGCCAACATGTTTTCATATGCCAAGGTGATGCACAAGCGGCTGTGTGACGTGATCCCCATGGAGATTCGCATGTGCCTTGAGACTGCTCTGCTGGATGACACGGACAGTGCGCTGTGGCGGGAGGTTCACGGCGGGGACATTCTCAAGATTGCGGCTGTCAAGGCGGCTGACCAGCAGCGCAGGGCTCGGCTGGAGGAGAGCATCAAAAGGCTGAAGGCATCTGAAGCCACGCTGCTGGGCCTTGCCTCTGACGCTCCCAGGCTGCTACCGGTAGCCTAGCCTCAAAACGCCTTGTCGTAAAATGTGCTGTTGAAGATTCTTGCTGAAAGGTGTACGGTAGGCAAGCAGAATTGATTATTGTGCTTCTGGTCACGACTCACCATGCCTGAATACCATATTGAGCGGATGGATGGATGGGTGTTGTTAACCGAGAAGAACAGGAAGACGATGGTGGTGCTCTTGCTGCATCTCTATGGCTGGAAGAAGCACCACGCAACATCTACTGCCATGCAATGCATGGATACTCCACCTGAAAAGAACTTGGGCTCTTAACTCAAGATGCTGGATCTTCCTGACATGATGGTGTTTGTGGAAGTATGCACCTGTCTGTTACTCAAGTCCGATGCGGTATTAGGGTATTTACGTCACTGCAATGCATGTGCCACTGCTGTTTGCACCTTCCCACGAACATTTGCGAGCAGTGTGTGTGATCAAACACAGAACAGGTGTTTTCGTACACAGTACAACAAAGACGTCACTATGCTAAGACGGTAGAGTTTCCATACCATACATTTCAGATCAGACGAGCTCCTATCAACACGCACCCAATGCTCTTGTAGTTCCCATGCGGTTCAGCACGGTACAACACCAGTCTGAGAGCAGCTTGCTCCGATACAGGGCCCTAAGCTGTAGAAGCACTTTGCTGAAGCGATTCCCACAGAGCTTCTCCCTCCTTGAATCCTGACAAGGAAAAAAAAGAGTCACATTCAGGGCATGATATGATATGCCATTCATGATGAGGCCGTGCAAGTCCAAGTCATATTAAGTCAACAGAGTCAGATCAGCTCATTTCAAGTCACCTCTCCTACGCAACAGTCACCAGCAGTGGAGACCACGGGCATGGCAAGCAAGCACCCCATTCATCATACAGTGTACGCCTCGCGCTCGCCACAATTTAAGGCAGCTCACATCAACTCAAGTCAACTCAGCTCATTTCAAGATACCTTTCCTCACAGCACTCACCAGCAGTGGAGGCCAGGGGCACGGCATGCACGGCATTCATGACACAACGTGCACGCCTCGCCATAGTTCAAGTCAGGTCAAGTCAACAACGCCAGGTCACCTCTCCTCACGGCACTCACCAGCAGTGGAGGCGAGGGGCACAGCATGCGGGCCATTCATGACACAGTGCACCGTGCATGCCTCGCCATAGTCCAAATCTGGCAGCAGCTTTGGCGTCAGCAGGAAGCACCTGCAGGGGGAAGGCGGTGTGGGGGGGGCGAAGGGGAGGGTTGCACAGGGGGAGGAGGGCGAGTGGAGCACAGGTGCGTTTGGTACAGAGAAGCGGTGCATTATAGTGCGCGGTGCATGCCTGGATGATGCCATGCACTGTGCACTCCACTGGGGGTCCTTGGCCTCACCAAAACATGAAGCACACTCACTGCGGGGTGTGGTCGTGGGTGCCCACTCACTACGGGGTGTGGTCGTGGGTGGCGGCGCCACTCACTGTGGGGTGTGGTCGTGGGTGGCGGCGCGCACGAGCTGTTGGAACATGTTGCGCTCGTTGGTGGGGTCCATGCCCTGGTTGATCTCATCCACCACTCGGAACGGACACCGCGTTAAGTCCTGCAGCGACACCAGGTACAGGATCGTGGACACAGAGCGCTCCTGGCATGGGGCATGGGAAGGGAGGGATACAGGAAAGGGAGGAGAGGGAGGCATAATTGCAAGTCCTGCCTCGGAACGGGCAGCGCGTGAGGTCCTGCAGCGACACCAGGTACAGGATCGTTGACACAGAGCGCTCCTGGAATGGGAAGGAAGGATAGAGATGGGATTGGGAGCGGATTGCGCGTTATGCACGCATGTATTGCCGAGAGAGCAGGTATGGAATCGTAGACGAAATAGGAGGGAGGGAGGGGTGATGAATTCAAGCAGCAACACAAGCAGCAAAGCCAAGGTAACAACAGCAGGTGACGCAACGCATGCAGCCGATGGAGCAGCACAGCAAAGAGCCCTGCCAGCACAGCAAGGAACCTTTTGAGCAACGCACCCCTCCGGACTGGTGGTGTGCACTGAGGTCCTGCAGCTCTGCACTCTCCCTGTCGCATGCATGCATCACCACATGAAGAGCACAAGACAGGGGGTGACAGGAGCAGAAGAAGGGGCAGGAGGCAAAGGGAGAAAGGGAGGCCATGAGAAGAGATACGTGGCAATGTGCAGAGACTTGTGAGTAGGACTGGACGAAATGTGTGAGCACAAGTGCTGTTCCTCTGAGAGTTGTGCAATTACAGGAAACTTCATGTGTGTGGGAAAGGAACTCAACTTAAAGGACAAGTGCGTAGGATGGGATGACACAAAAGTTGATTACGGCTTTTGACAGATTCGCATAGGCAGTGAATCAAGGCACTCAAGGAACCTGCACTGAACCACACTTGCAAATTTAATGGGGGCTTATCTTCCATCTGAAACCGAATCACCTGAACTTGACTCGGATCCGAATGCCATATGAACGAAAGTCAGCGCCCCTTTCATCTGAAGGGAAGCAAGCAGGGGGGTGTGCGATGATGGAGGAGGCGCGTTGCTATTTGTTGTCTGGACGTTGGGAGGTGGTGAGGTTGGTTGGACCACACGTGGCACGATTTAGTGATTTGTCGGCATAGAACGGTATGGTTGTTTGCGAATGGAAAATGAAAAGGAAGGCTGGGGTTTTACCTCACTATCCCCTTCCCCCGCCCCGCCCACCCTTCCCTCCCTATCCTACACTTCCCTCCCCCTTGCCCCAACCTCTCAAACCTCCACGCTCTCCCCTCGGCCCTTCCCTCCCTCACCTAGAGCCACCTCCCCAGCAACGGCCATTTCCCGGAAGTTTCTGGAGAAGGCCTCGTTGATGCGAATGATCAGTGAGCGGAGGCGCGGCAGCCAGAGACCCTGGGGATGGGATGGTGCCACGTGGCAGATGGGGATGGGATGGTGCCACGTGGCAGATGGGGATGGGATGGTGCCACGTGGCAGATGGTAGATGGTGGTGGTGTTGGTGTTGGTGGGATGGTGCAACATGGCAGATGGTGGTGGGATAAGATGTGCGGCAGAGGAAAAATAATGAAGCACATGGCAAATGGAATGCGATGATGGCAGTCCCAGCCCCCCCCTGTCTGACCTGAACCCTCTCCTCCACTGCATCTCCTTCCATCCCCTTACAATCACCTGCACCCATTACAGTCACACTCCCCCACGCCCACGTGCACGTGCTCCACCTCCTCCCTGAGCTCCTCCAGCTGCTACAGTAACACCATTATAATCACACCCATTACAGAAGCACCCATTATAGTCACCCCCCCCCCCCCCCCAACGCTCACCTGCACGCGCTCCACCTCCGACTTGAGCTCATCCAGCTGCTGCCTCTCACTCTCCACCTTGCCCTGCATGCTGCGGATCTGCATTGCCGTTGGGGGGAAGTAGGGGGAGGGGGATGGGGAGGAATATAGAAGGGAACGCGCGGTAAATGGACGATGCTAGCGGCTGGAATGACAGGGATGGGGAAAATGGGCCTTGAGGGGTAGAACGTGTGGTTTCCCATGCTCCACCTTGGCCCGCATAGAGAGGGGGTTGGCTGGGAGGAAGTGGGCGCGAGGCAGAGGCAATAAGTGGTGGAGACAAGAGTTGGGCAGCTGCTACCCCATCCAGCCTCCTTTTTGACCGGCACATGCAGAATGCGTTTCAAAGGTTGCAGCAACTTGGAACGTGCCCCAGTCGCCCACTGCTACTGCTGCTGCCACATGTGTGGGCTATTTTGCTGCCTTTACAGTCTCGTGTGAGAAACTCAAGTGTTGATATCATTAGGAAAAACGTGGGTAAATATAGGAGAGAAACGTGAGGGTAACTTGGAGAGGTACCCAAAGCATTATTGGTGGACCAATAAGAATGGTCACCAACTTTGGGTTGACCGTCAATTGTTGGGGGGACCAATAATGGTTGGGATGAACTAACCAAGTTGGTTTCCCTCCTTCAATTGCGGTCGAGTGGGTTTGGGGTGCACCCAACCAAACCTGGTCCAAAGTGTACACCCACATTGGGTGTAACACTTGCACCATTATAAACTGACATGCTATATTCTAACATCTCGCACCTCTTCTTTCAGCTGTTCTCCCGCCAGCTCTTCAGGTGCTTTTAGGTGTGCGCCTCTCCCATCTACTCTATCACCCATTCACCTCCTCTCTCCCCCCTCCCTTCTCACCTGCTCCTGCCGTTCTTGGAACTGCTGCAGCACGTGGGGGTTGGGGCACACGATGCGGTTCGCCTGCCCTATGCGCTCCTCCACCTCCTCCTGTAGCTCCTCTAGCGAGTCAGGCAGCTGGGGGCATGCCATGACACAAGACCACACAGCACACCACACCACAAGACAACGCAGCACGCAGAACAGAAGCACGCACGCAAGCAGAGAGGTAAGGTCCGGGCGACCACGGGCAGAGCTGAAGGGTGTGGGGAGTGGATATCTTAGTCGACTAAAAAATCGACATGTGCAGAGGTGAAGGGTGTAGGGAGTCAGGTACGCCTGAGGACCCACCCAATGTGCTCCGCAACCAAAAAGATAAGCAGAGTGATGGTGGATGAACTGAGAAAACCGAGGGAACTGAATGAACTCAATAAACCGACATAGAGCATAGCATCAAGAAGCAGGAAGCATCCAGAACCAGGACTCTGAAGGAGAGAGTTAGGGAAAGCGGAGGGTAAGAATAATGGGGCAGATTAATGTTTTCGGGAAGGGAGCGAACGAAAGGGAGGTGACCGGGAATAAACAACTCCCCTTATCAGCATCAGCACTTAAGGAGAAAATCCTTTCCTAAATTATTAACAGCCTTGTCGTCTCTTGTTATGCCCCTCTAGCCCCCACCTTGAGCTGTTGCAAACATCACCTTGCCACTCACCCTCACCGGTTTAAACAGTTCTCGTCTCAACAAACACCTTCTGTGACCCATCCGTACCGCTCCAAACAGCCTTTTGTCTCAACCACACATTCTCACCCATCCTCACCGTTTCAAACAACCTCTTGGCCTCTTCGTCTCTCCTGAGGTCCACCACCCCCCTTGCTGCCTCCAGTGCTGCTGCTGCCTCCTGCTTCGCTGCTGCCACTCGATCCTCCTCTGTGCAGGCAGACAGTGGGAGGGAGAGGGGGAAGGGGTAGCAGAATGGCGGGCAGGAATGGGGAAGAGGGGTGCGGGACAGGTAGGCACCAAAGTGCCACCTGCTTTGATGATTGCAGCTGATCCTCCTCTACACAGGTAGGCAATGGGGGATGGGGGTGGGGCGAAAGGTAGGGAAGAGCGGAGGGAGAGGAATGGAGGAGCGGGGGGGGCAAGGTGACTGCCAAAGTGGATACTGCTTTGGAGTTTGCACAAGGGAGATGAGTGTCATCTCCCTCATCCATCACATGCCCTCAGCCACATACCCCCTCACTGGTACATCCCCTCACCTCTCATCCCTTCTCACCATTCATATCCTCTCATGCCCCTTCTTTCTTCTCACTTCTCATCCCCACGCATCCCCACCTACGTTGGCAGATACGCCCTGGGCAGGGTTGCGTACCACGTATATACGCTTGCGTATATACGTGGTACGCTAATACGCTCGTATTTCTTGGAAATACGCCCGGGCAGCCCGCCGAAAAAAAAAAAATCGAAATTGAAAAATTTCGCGAAGGTTTTGCGACTTGGCGATTTGTTACCGCGCAGTCGCATATCGCCCTGGGGGGGGAAGGAGAGGATGCAGTTCTGGCGGATGAGTATGGGGCAGGGGTGGTGTTGGAAAAGCCCCGCAAGGAACTCGGCTGTGTGGAGGCTAGCTAGAGGGTGGGGTGGGGATGTATGGGGTGGGGAGAAGTAGCCCCAAAGATGTATCTCTGGATAATTATGAAATTAAAAAACATGTGTTTTTGGGAAACATAACCCGCCCCCCTGAAACAGGTTTTTTTAGCCCTGCCCGGGAAAAAAGTTTTACCTGCCCGCCCGGCGTATTTTTACGTATCACCAGTACGCCACCCCTAGCGTACCGCGTATATACCCAGCGTATAATACGCTAGCGTATTATACGTGATACTCGTATCTGCCAACGTAGATCCCCACTCATTCCACCCCTGCTCACCCCGCATCACCTCCTGCTGCAGCTTCAGCAGCTGCTCGTCCAGGTCCTTGAACTCGCCCTCTCGCTCGCGCAACTGGCGGGGGGGGGGGATGTGATACGATGCATGCATGACCATGTTGGGTGCACGCTATATGTGCGTGTTGGTTGGGTGCATGAGCACGGTGGTGCCTTGGTGCTTCAGCAGCTGCTCGTCCAGGTCCTTGAACTCGCCCTCTCGCTCGCGCACCTGGCGGCGGGGGAAGGGGTGATACGATGCAAGGCCATGGCATGCGGTGTATGTGTTGGGTGCTCGCTGTATGTGTGCGTTGGTCGGGTGCACGACGCATGGTGCTTCATTGCTCGCCCAGCTCATTACTGGAGCTCGCCCTTCCGCTCGCGCACCTGGTGGGGGGATGGCATGATATGAGGCGAGGCTATGGCATGTGGTGCATTGCTATGGCATGTGGTGCATTGCTATGGCATGTGGTGCATTGCTATGGCATGTGGTGCATTGCTATGGCATGTGGTGCATTGCTATGGCATGTGGTGCATTGCTATGGCATGTGGTGCATTGCTATGGCATGTGGTGCATTGCTATGGCATGTGGTGCATTGCTATGGCATGTGGTGCATTGCTATGGCATGTGGTGCATTGCTATGGCATGTGGTGCATTGCTATGGCATGTGGTGCATTGCTATGGCATGTGGTGCATTGCTATGGCATGTGGTGCATTGCTATGGCATGTGGTGCATTGCTATGGCATGTGGTGCATTGCTATGGCATGTGGTGTAACCATGGTACACATGACATGAGCATGTATGTGATTTGCACATGTCATAAGGCAAGCTCGTGGGAAGTTACCAGGAAGGAGAGCTCGTCCACAGCGAGTTGCAGGGAGGAAAGTCGCCGCTTCTCCTGCCACAGGCTTAGCAGGTGCTTCTGGGGGAGGTGCACATGGGGAGGGAGAGGCCCAGAGGGTGGGGGAGTTGGGAGAGGGGCGAACAAGGGGAGTAATTGGGAGGCTTGAAGCACAGAAGCTCCATATTGGAGCAAGGCTCAGTTGTTTCTTTAGACCCTTTCATAACACCAGTGCACCACTTGAAGCAGGGATTTTTCTAGAGAACACGGAAGTGAGGACGAAAGAAAGCGATGATGCAAAGGGAAAGGAGGAAGCAGTCTGCATGGGGGCGTGCTGTGGCTGGTTGGCAGGCACTCACATGTGTCTGCTTATCATTCCCCAACTGCCGCTCTATGCTCTGAGCAATGTCGGCCTTCGCCCTCCTCCTCACACTCCCCTCTACTCACCCTACAATGCCCGTGTACCAGTGCCACTCACGTGCGTCTTTTTGGCATTGCCCAGCTGCCGCTCCATGCTGACAGCAATGTCCGCCCTCGCCCTCCTCTCCACCTCCTCCAAATTCTCGCTCTGCCCCGATTCTTCCACCAGCCTCCGCTTCTGCACTGCAGTGCCATGAGAAATGGGTGGGGGGTAAAGAGAGATGGCGTGCACACCTCGCTCCTTCCTACCGATGCCACCAAGTCACGCTTGCACTGCAGCAGTGAGAGGGGAGGATAGGAGAGTAGAGAGGGAGGTGAGGGGACACATGGGGGTAACGCCCCGTCCCAGCGATACCAGCAGCTCCTGTTTCAGCACTGTAGTGCCTTACAGGGGAGAAGAAGAGTGCAGACATTGGGGAGACGGGAGGATGTCGGAGGAAGGGGCAAAAGGGGCAAGAGGCGGTGGCACATCAAGAGATGGCTGGATCGACGGGGATTGGAGCATGCACACTCTTTGGACCAGTGATGCTCACAGGAGGAAGAGGAGGAGGAGAGGAAAGGGGGAGGAGGAGGAGGAGGAGGAGGAGGAGGAGGAGGAGGAGGAGGAGGAGGAGGAGGAGGAGGAGGAGGAGGAAGAGAGTGAAAAAAGGTCTATCAATCAAAGTTCAAACGATCAGAGAGGGTGAGAGAGACTCACCAATGCGGTCCTGCAGGTCGGTGCGCTGCTTCTTCTGCCCATGGTACTCGTTCACAATCTCATCCTGTAGGGTTCAGTGCGGTACAGAGGAGATTGAACTGGTCAAAAAAGGTATTGACGGGGTAGAATGCACACCCTCATGTGGCACACACGGCATGGAGATACGAGATACAAGGTAGGCTTACCCTCCTTCCACCAGCAATAAAAACTGCCCGCTCCATGCCTCCCTCCCTCCATCCCTCAAACTCAAACTCCCTCTGGCCCTCTGGACACACACACATATACATCGCTCACCCCAACCCACCCCCACCTTATCCCACCTCACCACACCTCACCCCACCCCCCACCTCACCCGCTGTCTCTCGCATTGTGCTGCCTCGGCCTCAAGAGCGCGCTGCTCCATCCGCACAGCCTGCACCCTCTCCTGCAGCGCCCTGCCCCTCGCATCAATGCGCTCCTTTTCCGCCTGCAGCTGCTCCTCCTCCTGCAACCCCGACTCTGGCGCGCATCACATGTACATTGACACACACGGACACACAGAAGCAGCAGTTGTGGCGGAGTTATCAACATACAGGAGGAAACAAATGCAAAGAGGAAGACAAGTGCAAATAACAAGTACACAAAAATATCCAAGCACACAAAAGGCAGGCAAGCGTAGAAACAAGCGATGTTAAAAACTCTTATGAATGAAACGCTCGCATGGAAACATGACTGCAAACGAGTGGGAGACAATGCAGAACGTCTCAAGGGAAACAGCTCGTATTCTCGAGTTTCAAACTCAACAGCACTCAATGGGGGAAGGATTGGCGAGGTTCATTCAGAGATGAGAAGGGACAAGTGCAGGCAGCTGGAGTGACGGACATTTGAGACATCTGCGGTCTCGTCTTGAGAAATTATAGAAATTGAGTTACCGGTAACGCAAGCCTTGCATGAGAGTGCAATGCAGCTGAAGGCGCCTTGGTGGAAGAAGCAGGGGGGAGGGGCGCACCTTGGGAGAAGAAGCGGGAGGGGCGCACCTTGGGAGAAGAAGCGGGAGGGGCGCACCTTGGGAGAAGAAGCGGGAGGGGCGCACCTTGGGAGAAGAAGCGGGAGGGGCGCACCTTGGGAGAAGAAGCGGGAGGGGCGCACCTTGGGAGAAGAAGCGGGAGGGGCGCACCTTGGGAGAAGAAGCGGGAGGGGCGCACCTTGGGAGAAGAAGCGGGAGGGGCGCACCTTGGGAGAAGAAGCGGGAGGGGCGCACCTTGGGAGAAGAAGCGGGAGGGGCGCACCTTGGGAGAAGAAGCGGGAGGGGCGCACCTTGGGAGAAGAAGCGGGAGGGGCGCACCTTGGGAGAAGAAGCGGGAGGGGCGCACCTTGGGAGAAGAAGCGGGAGGGGCGCACGCCGTGGGCACTGATGGAGAGCGAGCCGTTGTAGCGCGAGCGCAGCCAGCGGTAGTGGCTCTCCGGCGTCCACAGGTCCTCCACTCCCCTCTCCTGTATCACCTCCGCGTTCTTATCTGCCTCTGCCGATCCCACGAACTTCAAGGCGTGTGGTGTGGTGTGGTGTGGTGTGGTGTGGTGTGGTGTGGTGTGGTGTGGTGTGGTGTGGTGTGGTGTGGTGTGGTGTGGTGTGGTGTGGTGTGGTGTGGAACATGAAAGAGAGGGAGGAGGGGAAGCGAGAGTACACGAGGGAGGGTGATGGGGAGAAATGAGATGAAGTGGGTGTCAGTTATCCACAGGTCTTCCCCGCCCGGCCTCTGTATTGCCTCCACATGTTGATCAGCCTCCCATGCACACACGCACTCACTCACACGCACACGGACGCACGAACGCATGCATGCACGCACGCACACACACTCAGACACACACACACCCACTCACACACAGACACACACACACACACACACACACACACACACTCACACACACACAGCCACCCACCCACACACACAATCACGCATGTGAGCATGCAGCACTCACGGAGCGGAAGAGCTGCGACTGCTGGTTGAGCACACTGCGCACGCACACATGCACGGGCATTCCAACATGCAGCACTCACGCATACCCCCCCACATGCAGCACTCACGGATCGGAAGAGCTGCGACTGCTGGTTGAGCACACTGTGCACCACAGGAGCCGCATTGAACACCTCGTCCAATCGGTGCGTGACACCTAGGCGCTGCAGCTGTTGGGGGCGAGATGTGTAGGAGCAGTGAGGGCGAGAGAAGGAGAGAGAGAATTGAGGGAGAGAGGGTGGAAGAGGGAGGAGTGGGAGGAAATAAGAAGCAGGGAGAAAGGAGGAAGGAAGGAGGGAGCAGGTGGAAGGAGGAAGGACGGAAGAGGGACGAAGGAATGACAAGAAAGTTGAGGCAGGGGGAGAAAGTTGAGGCAGGGGGAGAAAGTTGAGGCAGGGGGAGAAAGTTGAGGCAGGGGGAGAAAGTTGAGGCAGGGGGAGAAAGTTGAGGCAGGGGAGGGAAGAATGGAGGAGTAAGGCTCTAGAAGGGTCACTTCACAGCACACGAGAATATTGCACAGGAGAGCAGTCATTAGAACCGGATTGGTCACATTCCAGAAGAACTGCATGCCCTCCAGCGAGATTAACCCGCCTCTCACAGCACAGCACGGCACGGCACGGCACGGCACGGCACGGCACGGCACGGCACGGCACGGCACGGCACGGCACGGCACGGCACGGCACGGCACGGCACAGCACAGCACAGCACAGCACAGCACAGCACTCACATGTGCATCCACGGCCATGGCATGTGCGGGGGGACCCAGCTCCTCAGGGCGACTGCTCTCATTCACCACTGCCACACCAAGGGGCTTTAAGTGGCGCACGAGCAAGTCTCGATCCTCCGGTACTGTTGTAACAAAGGCCTACCCCAGGGGAGGGGGGTAACAGGAGAAGAGAAGAAGAGGAAAAGAGGAGAATAGGAAAAGAGGAGCGATCAATTTTGAGAATCCTCAGAAGTTATTACAACATAAGAGGAGAAGAGGAGACGAGGAGAATCGCGCAAAGAAACAGTGTGCTTCTGACCAACACCCATTATTTATACCACATGTTGCTTGCTTGCCTTCCACTCCCACCCCGTAATTGAACACTTGAATTAGCAGGCTCATCACACGCAGCGTTTAAAGAAAGTCTGGGAGTCAGAAGCTGCGCACCTTCCACACCCACATCGGCACGTGCTGCTCTAGGAAGGCTGCATGCGCATCGGGGTCTATAAGGTTCACCTGGGGGTGGGGGGGGGTTGGAAGGGGGAGGAAGAGGGGCTGAAGGAGCAGAGGAGCAACGCACCCCACCTCACTGCCCTGAAACACTCTTGTCGCCTGAGAATTCTCATAAGGGAAACCTGCACCGCGTCTCAATCTCTACTGGAAACTGATGCGACCAAACGGAGTGCAAGAGGGTTTTATTACAGATTCGATTCACACACAAGAAAGTAGTACTCATGCTTTGAAACGTCAGCAGGCGCGCAGGTGGGTTTCTTCAGATTCTATTCAATCAAACATATGCTGCAAGGGTCCCACGTCAGCAAGAATGGGCCCGTAAAGGCCGCCCTTGCACTGAATTCCCAGACGTCTCAAAGCTGAATACCACCTTTCAAAACTGCAACGCACCTTTCAAAACTGCAACGCACCTTTCAAAACTGCAACGCACCTTTCAAAACTGCAACGCACCTTTCAAAACTGCAACGCACCTTTCAAAACTGCAACGCACCTTTCAAAACTGCAACGCACCTTTCAAAACTGCAACGCACCTTTCAAAACTGCATCGCACCTTTCAAAACTGCATCGCACGTCTCAAAACTGCATCGCACCTTTCAAAACTGCATCGCACCTCTCAAAACTGCAACGCACCTCTCAAAGCTGCATCGCACCTTTCAAAACTGCAACGCACCTCTCAAAGCTGCATCGCACCTCAGCGAGAATGGGTCCGTAGACGGCCCCCTTGCACTGAGCGCGGTTGTGGTCGAGCCACTCACACGCCTGCTTCAGCTCCCTGTCGCCCGCCCGCTCTATGCGCCGATTGCGACTGTTGGCCACCTCGTGCATGCTGATGTGCACAAGGGGATGCGGGAGTGGATGGGTGGGGGAGTGGTGGTGTGGGGGGGAATGAGACATCTCAAACCCTGCTCTATGCTCGGGTCTTGGGGGAGAAGACCTGCTCAAGACCTGTCTATGCCCCTCGGACAGTTGCGTTGCGACTATCTTGAGACTGTCCTCATGTGCGACTATTCCGTTCGCATGCGCGAGGTGCTCAACCGAAATGGAACCCAAAATGGCTCGATTGAAAGTTAGAACCGAGATTGCACGATCATTCACTGAGGATAATCTTTTAGACCCTCTTCATTAGTCGTCCCCCTCAGAAGCCATAACCCAGCTGCCGCTTTCTGTCTCACCATCTCTCACCCCTCTCACTTTCTCTCCCTCACACCCTTCTCACCGCCTCTCCACGCGGCCCATCTGCTCCCTCAGCACGCTCATCTGCTGCTCCAGCTGCCGCCCCTCGCGCTCCTTCTCCCCCGCCTGCATCCGCAGCTCCCTCCCTCGCCTTGCCAAAGGGTCCTGCACCAGCCAACACGGAGGGGGCAAACAAATGGGGGGACGGGAAGAGAGTTGTTGTGAGACGCTTAAGAACGGGGGGGGGGGGGCAGGAGGGGGTAGGGGAGGGAGGGGAGGGAGGGGAAGGGGGGAAGAAATTGGTCTGCATGCGGAGGAGAAAGAGGCACGCATGCATGCAAGCAATGAATCCAGTCACCTTCCATCCACCTGCCATGGGGCATGGCACTGTGGCTAGGCTACAACTTCCAACCTTCAATCCTGGATTCTCACTAAATTATACCATTTTCGTAAGTGGACATGTACGCTCATCTTTGGTAGCGTCCAGTCCCAGTGTATACACGCTGCTGAACGCTCGCGTTTTTTCTTATTTCTTTTTTCTTTTTTTTTTAGCAGACCCTAAACAAGCTTTCGAGCGACAACTTTGATTTTGACGCGGCACAAATTCGCTCGCCCAAACAGAGCCGAAACCTAAACACCTCCTGGACATTCCAGCACTAAACCGCAACGGCATCCTTGGGCGGCCATGCCCCCCCCTCTCCCCTTCCTTCTCCCATCACGCACCACAGCGGCCTTGGGCGGTTTGACTTCCGGCAGGGCGGCGAGTTGCTCCTCCAGCTGCTGCAGGTCCGCCTGTGCCTTTGCCAGCCGCTGCTCGCGATTCGCTGCCTTGCTCCGCGCATCCACCACGTCCCGCTGCCTCTCCACCGCCTGCTGCACCTGTGGGGGCAGAGGGGAGGACAGCAGGTGTGTGGTGTGAGTGAGGAGCCCTGTCAAGCCAACCTCAGCTGCTCGCCCTCTCTTGCCCCGTGCACCGCATCCACCAAGCCCCGCTCCCTCTCCACCGCCTGCTGCACCTGTGGGGACAGGGGGGGGGGCGAGAATGTGTACAGTGTATGATGCACAGTGTGAGGAGCTGTTTCACATTCAAACTAAGCTGGTCTCCCTCTCTTGCCCTGTGCACCTCCCCCACCACGTTCCGCTCCCTCTCCAGGGAGGGAGCTGTTCGAGGGAGGGAGGCGAACAGCTGTGAGATGTGATGCGAGGACCAGGTCTCTCCAAGGTGCAAGGTTGGTAACTCTTGCGGTGCCCCAAAAGTCAGCCTAAGCACGTCATTACTACCCTTTGCCACCCTTCGCTTCGCAGCTGGTCACTCTCCTTCCCCCCATTCCTGATTGCCTCTCACCAGTTAGTTTATCCCTCCCCTTCATTCCTTATTGCACCTCACCACCTGGTCACTCTCCTTCCCCCAATTGCTGATTGCCCTCACCAGCTGCTCGCTCTCCTTCCCCCCATTGCTCTCACCAGCTGGTCGCTCTCCTCTGCCAGTTCCCGCAGCTTCCTCTCCCTCGCCTCGTTCTCGCGCCCTATCTTCGCCACCAGCGATGCAAACCCCGCCCGACTCTCCTTCAACGCTCTGTGGGGAGGAGAGTGGTGGGGAATGGGGGAGGGTGGTAAAGAATGGGGCATTCAGAAAATCCAAAAAGCAGCAACTTGTAACCCACAACCGAGACCTGGTAACCCCGTAACAGCGCCTCACACTCAGGACTCACACGAGGGGGTCCCTGGCGGCCATGACTCACACGAGGGGGTCCCTGGCGGCCATGACTTGTGTCTGCAGTTCGTCCCTCTCCTTAAGCCTCGCCTCCACTGCCCCCTCCATCTCCCTCACACGCCGCTTCATGCGCTCGTACTTGAGCCAGGGCACCTTCTTCTTCATCAGCGCTACCTGCATGGAGGGAGAGGGGAGAGGCGGGGATGGAGGGTGGAAGAGCAAAGAGTGCACGGAAGAGAGAGTGGAGCCGTTGTCACACACCGCTTCACCCGCTCGTTCTTGAGCCATGGCGCCTTCTTCTTCATCAGCGCTACCTGCATGGGGGGAGAAAAGGGGAGAGAGTTGAAGGGGGAGAGTGGACGGAGGAGAGTGGGAGAGGAGAGTGGAAGTGGGGAAGAGAGCCTGGTTTTCCTTCCACCTCTCCTTACAAAGGTTTCGATCGACCCGCAGTTGCCACAAGAGAACGGTACATTAGAGATCTCGGGGTGGGTGGGAGAAAGCTAAGGAGGGAGTTGGAACTCGAAAACAAGCTACAACTCACCGAAATGCTCCTCTCTGTCAAAGCTGAAACAGAATGGCTCGATTCGCTTCAGCAAGCTGAAGTTGAACCAAACCGAACAGGTTCGACTCAAACCGCGCTCCATTCAAGTCGATCTGTATGTGACAATGGAAAAGCCCGGTTCGGTACTGTGCTCAGGTCTACTCACACACCCATCACGCCTCTCACACGCCTTCTCACCTCCTTGAGAATGGCCGCCCTGCGTTGCACCTTCTCCACATCCACCTCCGCAAGGTGACTCACAAGTCTCCTCCCACGCCAACCCTCACCTCCTCCCACGCCAACCCTCACCTCCTCCCACGCCAACCCTCACCTCCTCCCCTGCCAACCCTCACCTCCTCCCACGCCAACCCTCACCTCCTCCCACGCCAATCCTCACCTCCTCCCACGCCAACTCTCACCTCCTCCCACGCCAACCCTCACCTCCTCCCACGCCAACCCTCACCTCCTCCCACGCCAACCCTCACCTCCTCCCACGCCAACCCTCACCTCCTCCCACGCCAACCCTCACCTCCTCCCACGCCAACCCTCACCTCCTCCCACGCCAACTCTCACCTCCTCCCACGCCAACCCTCACCTCCTCCCACGCCAACCCTCACCTCCTCCCACGCCAACCCTCACCTCCTCCCACGCCAACCCTCACCTCCTCCCACGCCAACCCTCACCTCCTCCCACGCCAACCCTCACCTCCTCCCACGCCAACTCTCACCTCCTCCCACGCCAACCCTCACCTCCTCCCACGCCAACCCTCACCTCCTCCCACGCCAACCCTCACCTCCTTGAGAATGGCCTCCCTGCGTTGCACCTTCTCCACATCCACCTCCACCTGCGCGTTCGCCACCTGCAGCTTGCCCAGCTGCTCCTCGTGTGACACCAACGTCTGCGGCACATGGGGGCATGGCATGCATGGGGGGGTGACACGCATGGGGGCATGGCATGCATGGGGGGGTGACACGCATGGGGGCATGGCATGCATGGGGGCGTGACACGCATGGGGGCATGGCATAAGTGGGTTAAGTTAAAAAACGCCCGAGTATGTAAAAAGCCTCCTTGTGAACACATGTCAGCACTTGGGTTGAAAAACACATGTGTCGGCTCAAATGCTCTTTGAAAAGTCCAATACATGCCCACCCACCCAGCACCGGAAAGAATGTGTACTTCCTCCTCGCATGAAGATAGTTTAAACAACAAGGAGAAGAAAACCCAACCGCATCTTACCGCGTGCAGGGTGGCGAGGGCGTCCTGCTGGTCCTTGAGGAAGGCGTGCTGCTGGGACAGCTGTGGGGTGACTCTTAATCGACTCAAACAACCCCAAGCCCCATCTGATCGCATGCAGGCAGCACGGAAGAGAACCCCCCCTTCCCATCTCACGGCGTGCAGGGTGGCGAGGGCGTCCTGCTGGTCCTTGAGGAAGGCGTGCTGGTGGGACAGCTGTGGGTCGCCCACGGCCCTCTGCGTCTCCTCCAGCAGCTGTATGGGCGACATGCCCGCGAACGCACACACTCGGTCCTGTGGGAGGAACTGCGGGTGACAAGGGGGCGGAGGGCGAGAGGGAATGGGAAAGGGGGAAGCGGAAAGGGGGAAGGGGGATGGGGAAGGGGGAAGGGTGATGGGGAAGGGGTAAAGGGGATGGAGAAGGGGAAAGGGGGATGAGGAACGAGGTTCGATAAAAGGGGGATCCTCCAGCAGCTGCACCGGTGACATGCCTGCGAACGCACACACCCAGTCTTGTGAGAGGAACTGCAGGCGAGAGAAGAGGGGCGGGAGGAGGATGGGGAGGAGGGAACGGGTTAGGTAGATGGGGATATAACACTAGCAGCTGCACGGGTGACATGCCTGCAAACGCACACATGAGGTCCTACGGGAGGAACTGCAGGTGAGATATTCGGGGGAAACGAGGGGTTGTGGCTAGAAGTGGGATTCGGTTGAAGGGATGGGGGTGAAGCAGAAGAGAGAGGGGGAGCGAGGTGGGGTGGGCTGTTGTGCATGTCTTTGGAAAGCACACCTCGTGACCCAATGCACAGCACTTACCTGCGTGAGGTTGGAGATCTGGATGTTGGATCGCTTCATGCACTCCTGCACCTGATCCCGCCGCACTCCATGCCCTGCCCAAAGGGGGAGAGTGCATCGTACGGCGGGAGAGAGCATGGAAGGAAGAAGGGCAGAGCGCATGACAGCGGATGCAAAGTCCATCATGCAACACGGGTGTACAATTTTCGATGAGTCGAGTCAAAAGCCATACCATTGAGGAGCCAGTCGGTGCGATTCTCGATGGAGATGCGGCGGGTGACGTGCACCTCCTCCCCCGCCACATCCCCCCGCAGCACAATGCTTATCTCCGCACTGCGCTCTCCTCGCTGCACAAACTCCCCCACGTGCGCCGCCCGCCCCAGCATCTGCCATGGTGGGAGGTGGTGGGGGTGGGTGGTTGGGCGGGCGTGGGGTTGGTTAATAGGGTGCAGGCACGGCCGTCCCCAGCACCCGCGGTCATACGGTAGAACAAGACAGCGTGTGTGTGAGGCAAATCGAATTACCACATAGACTGAGAGGCATGTCAGAACCCGAGAACAAGACACGTGAGATGCTGATCTGCTCTGCTCGCTCGCACCATCAGCACTACAGCCACCTCTGCACCTCTGCCCGCCCGGTGTTCACATCAGGCAGACAACATACATTCGTGTACCAAGGAAATGTGTGGCCCTCCCTCCTAGTGTTCGGATCAAGCAGTCTGCATTTAGGTACCAAGAGAACGTGCAGCTGTCTCTAGGTGTTAAAACGGGCTTTCTAGGAACGTACCGCCTCGTCCTCCTCCCCCCACACCCCCTGATACCCAGTCAGCCCCTTGCTCTGACAGCAGTCACGCAGCTCGCCTTGGGTTCTCCGCCCAGCCCCAGGCCGATGGCGCAGACGAGGGAGCTCTTGCCGGAGCCGTTGAGTTCGGACATTCAGGTTCAGTGTGAGAAAATAAGCAATAGTGCAGTGGTCACCTTGGGTTCTCCCCCTAGCCCCAGGCCGATGGCGCAGACGAGGGAGCTCTTGCCCGACCCGTTGGGCCCCACGATGAGGTTGAGGCGCGGCGAGGGGCGCGCTGAGATGGACGCGTACGTCATGAAGTGCCGCACCTGCACCAATAGGATGTTGCCCGGCTGGAACCCGTCCTCGCCTCTGATTGGTGGGTGGAGGGCAACATCAACATTGGCAGGAAGAAGGGGAAAAACGACATGGATGCAGAGGGGGGAGGCGGGGGAAGGGGAGGGGAGTGAAAGGGGAGGGGGGGGTTGTGTTGGGAAGCTGGAAGGTGGGAAGGGATGGTCGTGAGGAGCAGGTAACGTAAGTACAGTGGTATGGCGCTAGGAATCAAGTTTTGAGGTTCCTCAAAAATAGTACAGTGGTATGGCGCTAAGAATCAGATTTTGAGGCTCCTCGGAAATAGTACCTTGGCATGGCGCGAGGAAGAGCCACTATTGCCTGTGTCGGCGTTCCTTCAGGTCCGTCCCGATCCTCCCCCATACCGGACGGAGTAACCGGACGTTCGGCATCTTCTTCAGGCTCGGCGCGTTCCCGAGCGCGAGGCTGTGTGCTAGGTCCGGCAGCCTGCGAATCCCGAGCGTAGCCGTCTGGCTCGTAACCGTCAGCCTCGGCATGATAGCCGTTGCTGCTTTCAACAACTTTTTCCTTGCCCTTGGCGCGAGAGGTGTTTTCCCGCTTCGCCACGACAGCAGCCTCCTGTTTCACCATTCCAGCTTGGCGTCTCGCGGCCACGTCAGCTTCTCTTTTCACGGGGCCCGCGGCGCGCTCGCGCTTCACCACGTCTGCCGGCTGCTGCGAAGAGGAACCATCGCCGCCGCTCGCGCCTCCCGTCCTAAGCCGCTTGCTCCTGCGGGTCCCGCTTTCATCTGAGCCGTTCATCTCCGCACGACGATCATCGCGCCGCTCACGCGTCGTTTGCGGTTCGCCATCAACCTCCCCCGCGGCTACCTCCGCAACCCCAGCTACCCCCGCTACCTCCTGCGCCTCCTCCGCATCCTCTCGCTCCAACTCCTCTTGCACGCTAGTCGACCGGGTCACGCGCCTCGCCGGATCGCCTGAACGACTAACGCGCTCCCGTTTCGGCGCCATGAGCCTCGCTTCACCCGAGGATGACTATTGCGGGTTAGAGCTCGACTCAAATTACGCTGACGACATTACAGAATGCGACTTTGGGAGGAGGACAATGCTACCTCTCGAAACTGATCCAAAGGATACTGTAAGGAACGAACCTAAGAAGCAGAGAGACGTGTCCCAGAGGAACGAACCTATATCCCAGAGAAGAAACTCCTAGTCATGTAGAGCGACGACTGGAGCTAAGCGGAGACTATCGAGGTTCCTCCTAGGGAATGGAAAGCGTATTCTCAAGGTTGCGGTGCGGTTCGCTCTCAAAACGTGAATTGTGTTCCAACTTTGGAAACATTCTGTAATTTCAAATCCTGTAGAGTTCGTTTCCCGCCCATTCGGCAATTCCCCCTTGGTAACACTTCGCCCTCCCAAAAGGGCACTTCAAAATGTGAATCTGTGAATCACGTGCAGTAAGTGTAGTCACTCGAAAAGACTAATCAATACATACTAGAAGCAATATTATGTACACCAGCCATATTTGTACTACGGTGCCATGTATCAAGATGGTACCTCTGGTTTATAGGATGGCAAGTATCAAGCGTTTGCTCTCCTCCGATGGTCAGCATTCCACAAAGCGCATCATTTCACACCCCAATAGGGAGGGCCACTTTCATGTTGCCGGGCGAGCAGTGGCCAGGCACACTGCAGGAAAAATAAAGGGTCTTGCCCCTTGCTGACGCTGGCACCTTGTACCTGAGGTGGTGTGAAACGTGAGAAGCAAAGCAAGCAGTTAAATTTAAATCAAAAAAACCGTAACAGAGCAGTCAACCCATCCAAGGCAGTCGAGCCATCCAAGAAAACTCAGCCAGTCCAGCCATCCAAGGCAATGGTCCAAGCGAAAGGTATGCTCACAGTTTACGATCCTGGTGAGCTTCTTAGCAGCCCCGAAGTTGCAGCTTTCATGCGCGTCGTCAGAGTCCATGAGCACCACATCATGGGGAATGACGCCCCTCCACTTGAACACTGCACGTGCATTCATGCGCCACAGATGGTGAGAGAGGAGCAGAAGCAGGCGCACTGGAATGAGTTATGGACTAAGCTCACGAGCCGAACATCACGAGCCACACGTCAGAGGTCATGAGCAGCAGCAGGGTATGAATGGATATATGAGCTTTTTAGATGCTTCAAAGCTACGTTGGCAGATACGAGTATCACGTATAATACGCTAGCGTATTATACGCTGGGTATATACGCGGTACGCTAGGGGTGGCGTACTGGTGATACGTAAAAATACGCCGGGCGGGCAGGTAAAACTTTTTTCCCGGGCAGGGCTAAAAAAACCTGTTTCAGGGGGGCGGGTTATGTTTCCCAAAAACACATGTTTTTTAATTTCATAATTATCCAGAGATACATCTTTGGGGCTACTTCTCCCCACCCCATACATCCCCACCCCACCCTCTAGCTAGCCTCCACACAGCCGAGTTCCTTGCGGGGCTTTTCCAACACCACCCCTGCCCCATACTCATCCGCCAGAACTGCATCCTCTCCTTCCCCCCCCAGGGCGATATGCGACTGCGCTTTAACAAATCGCCAAGTCGCAAAACCTTCGCGAAATTTTTCAATTTCGATTTTTTTTTTCGGCGGGCTGCCCGGGCGTATTTCCAAGAAATACGAGCGTATTAGCGTACCACGTATATACGCAAGCGTATATACGTGGTACGCAACCCTGCCCAGGGCGTATCTGCCAACGTAGCTTCAAAGCTCACTGCTTTTGCAAGAGAGTCGAACTGAGCAACGACATGCCAAGAGTGGCAAGCAGGTGAGAGGCCATGCGTAGTAGGAAGGTGACAAGGAGACGTACCGAGCACATCGCCTACACGGGCAGGCGTTGTAGGGCGCCAGTTTTGCAGGTTGTAGCGCCATGGGCTGCGCCCCCTGCCACCCACCGTAATCGCTCTGGCCTGAGGGGCATCAGGGGAAGGGCACGGGGAGAGAAGCGTTACATTTCCAACGAAACATGCAACGTTACGTATGCATATCAAGGAGGGACAGGTTACAACGCCAACGAAACAGGCAGCGGACGACGGCTGATTCAGTAATGAGTTGAACACATCTGAAATGTGCTCGACTAGCCTCCCAAGGCATACTACCAGCCAAGGTGAAATCTAGAAGGCAAACTATGAATCTGAGAGGAGAACGCAGGAGGGAAGTGAATATGTACCTCTGCCTGGGCTGCGCCTGAAGACCAGGAGTCCACGTCAATCAAATGAAGTGATGGGCCGTAGAGATTGCATGAGAAAAAAAGGGAGAGAAGGAAGCACAGAGAAACAGAGAGACGAAGCACAGAGAAACAGGGAGAGAAGGAAACACAGAGAAAAAGGGAAGGAGGGAAGCATAGAAACATGGTGAGAAGGAAGAGCAAAGAACCAGGGAGACAAGAAGCACAGGAAACAGGAAGGAGACGGGCGGCGTGCGTTACTGGATGATTTAGTGCACAAGTTAGAGAGCATCCGAGAGCAATACAGCACGGTGACTGGAGGGGGTGTCAACTGAAACAGCCAATTCCAGTAAAGGCGAACGAAGCCAAAGCGAGGCCAAAGGGGAGCCAAAGCGGAGCCATGGAAAGGCATTGTGAGATCAGCTTGGGGGCGTCAGTGACCTAAAGGAACGAAATTAGGCGATGAGATTTCGCATTCTGAGGCACTATACGCGGAAGACTGACGTACAGAGCAGGGCGAGAAGTGCGGTAGTCACGAGGGCAACGGTTGATAGCGAGCGAGTCATGGCGGGAAGCGAGCTTGCGAGGCTGGGACAGAGATGATCAAATGACAGAGATGATCCGAGTGGGATGTTCAACATCCGACTGGAGGAGGACGACTGTCGTCGGAATCGCCGAGTGATCAAATGATACACCTTATCAGAACGAAGGTATTCGCGATGGTGATAGACCTTCACGGCCTAAGCGTTACTCTAGATGCTATACGTCAGCTCTGTCCGTCGTTAGTACCGCGTGTATTGAGACGCGTCAAAAGCACGGCTTAGGCTATGACGCTATCGTGCCAAGCATGTCCGTCCTTAACGGCGTGGAGTGAGACGCCTGCGTGTCCGTCCTTAACCGCGTGCGATCTGCGCGTGAATCGGCAAGCACAGATTCCGCGAATGCAGGTATTTGCGGTGAAGGGAAGGTTCGTGCCGCAAACGGCTCTATACGAGTGTATCGTAAGACTGAAATCACGTGTTGTGTCATTTATATGTGTACTTGAAAGCTGCTCCTTTTCCTCCAGTTCTTGCTCCTTGATTTTACTCCGACCTTGCACCAACGCTGCGGCATGTGTGAATGTGGTCGGATGATTTGGCCTAGGTCCATTGATGCCGGTACAGAAACTAAGGTCGACATGCGGTGCCAGGTTTTACCAACTCGAAACGCGGTGAGAGAGGGGAGAGCGCAGGCTGCCACGTGGCTCCGTAATTGTCCTGCCAGCCAGCCATAGTACCCCACCGCCGACCTACTAATGTGTACAGTCCAGTCAAAGTGTCAATTCATTCATTCACCGACCGATCCTACTATGGAGAACAGTTCTCGTCTCGTCACCGCACATCGGGAAATGTGGGGACGGCTCATCTGAGCAAGGTTCTCGAAACGTGGCGACGACACAAGGAAACGCGTGTTGTCTGCGATGCACCATGCTTTGAATGATTGCTCAATGCACGGCTGGTCCATTCGCCGCGTGCTGCTAGTGAAGAATCGAGAATCGACTCTGGGGAAGGTAAAAATGTAGAGATTCCTCAGACTATTGGTGTAGAGCACAATACTAGTGCCATTGGGTGTGTGAGTGCACCCATCAAGTACCCGTTGTGAAGGCGAGGCTGACCAAAACGAGCGACACGTACCCGTTTGAGGCTTTACTCAAAGAGTCCACTGTGCTCTGCTAGCGAAGCAGGCTTCACTCCAGTTCCGTCACTGTTAAAAGCTTAAGTGAGCGGACACGTGTGAACAACAAGAAATATAGTTGGCCAAGTGGTACATACAAGAGTTGAAGTTCAAGGTACCGTATCAATATTCCCCATCCAACAAACGTACTGCACTGAGCCTTGTAAAGCCAAATCAAAACTGAACAGCAAGCTGGAAGATAGATCCCGAAATCCATTGACACATGGGAACGAGAGCCTCAACTGCTTGAAACTGTATACCGTAATATTTGTTGCGCTGCATTCTTCCACAAGCAGTTATATACATATCAGCAATTATTAGTGACACCATCTACAGGAGAAGAGCAGGAAAGTGCCTGCTTGATTGGTACTGCCACTTTCATGTTAAACGCAGTGCAGTGACCGGGCACGCTGCAGGAGAAGAGAAGGGATGTGCCCCGCGGCTGCAGTTGGCACCTTGTACCTGACACAAGATTCAAACAATTGTGGCAAGCGCACGGCAGAGAATGGTAAGATTGCAATTGTGGTAACACACACAGAAATATTTGGGAGCAACAAATACCTATAGTGGAAACCTTGGCAGATGTAGGCGTGTGGACAGCGGTGGGAGCCGCAACAGAGACCACAGGCCACTAGCAAGGGAGTCCAGCTCAACACAGACTCAACAAAACGCGTCGCACACTCAATTGTAGTTCCCGTGGTGATTAACCCCCTCAGCAGCACACCCCAAATCCGCAAAATTGTGCGCATCTACAGTGTTAAGGTAAACTCAATGTGCTAGTTGCACTCACTTGTACCTCCCCACGCTGGTGATGCCGGTCTTCTTAGTGGCCGCTCCCGCACCGAAGTTGCAGTTGTTGTACGCGTCCATGGAGTTCATGATCCACACGTCATGCGGGATGCCTGTCCACTTGAACACTGCAGGCAATGGGGCGGACGGTGAAAGGGAAGCAGAAGCAAGTGGGGTGAGGCAGCACCGAAGTCACGGGCATTGTACGCGTCCATGGTGTTCATGATGGCAGCGAAGCAGAAGCAAGTGAGGCCAGTGGGATGAGGCCAGTGGGATGAGACAAACAAACATAAGCAATGCAGCAGGCTGAAAGTAACCAGGGGAGGGCTGTACGAAGAGTGAGAGCCATGGCGCACAGGATCACAAAAAGCAAAAGGATGTAACCAGGGGAGCCGATAAAAGTCTCTATGTCTTGGTGATAGCATCCCCTTGCAACGACCACTGCAAAGGAAGGGTACTGTGGCACGATGAGCGCATGAACGGGAGGCGTACCGAGAGTGTCCCCTGCGTGTATGGCCCCCTTGGGCTTCCACCTCTTCAAGCCGAATCCCAACGGACTGACTTTTGGGTCGACTCAGAAGCCACCTCGCTTACCAAGAGTGTCCCCTGCGTGTATGACCCCCCTGGGCTTCCACCTCTTCACGCCATATCCCCACGGACTGAACCGGCTGCCTCCCACTGTGAATATCTTGGCCTGTTGGGTGGCAGCGATGGCAGAGAGGAGGAGAAAGCCACAAAGAGAGCAGGAGACAATGGGATGAGAGAGGCAGAGCGGCATAGGGATGGGCGTAGGGTAAGGGTGTGCAAAGAGGGTGAGGCGGAGAAGACGAACGGAGGGACTTGAGAAGAAACGAAAGGGTAAGGAGGGGGAAGGGAAAGGGATGGTGCATGCGAGGGCATGAATCGAGGCGGACACGGGCGAGTAGAGGAGGAATGACGAGAGGGGAGTGATGAGACGAGCATGACTCGGAAACGAAGGATTCTACGAGCAGTGTTAGCAGTGAGATGTGGGAGGCGGAAAAGGCGTGAAGTCGGGAAAGCACTCGAGAACACATTTGGGAATTGGAGAAGGAAGCAAGGGGAGACGACAGCAGGAGGGCAGAAGGCAGGAGGGCAAGAGGGCAAGGGAGAAAGAGATCAAGAGAGGCAAGAGGCGGGGGGCAGGAGGGCAAGCGAAGCAGTACCTCTGACTGGATTGCGCCTGCCACCAGGGGAAGTGTGGAGTCATGGACACGGGAAAGAGACAAAGTATAGACACGGGAAGGGGGAAGGCGGGAGGGATGAGCGCCGCAGGCTTTCAGGAGTGAAATGATGGGTGAAATCGCAGAAAAGCAGGAGAGCAGCAGAGCAGCAGAGCAACCGAGCAACAGAGCAGGAGGGCAGGGGGTTGAACAGACTGGCACATCTCTAAAATGTAATGACCCAGAACCCGAGGTAGTAGCTTTCAGGCAGGATTCGGGTCAAAAAATAAAATGACCCGAAAGTTACTTTCGGGTCTAACACTTCAGGGTAGACATCGTCTGACCCAAAAGTGACTTTTGGGTCGGGCCAAGAGCCAGGTTGCGCCCTAACAGCCGAGAGAAACCGAAGCAAGCGGCCAAGGCCGAGGTTGACGCGAGAGCTGAAAATTGCGACGAAATAACCGCGCAGAGTCACGAGGAGCAAGAGAGCGTGCCACGGAAGGACTCGTCTTGAGTAAGGAACGAACGTGCCAGAAACAAAAAAATATGGTGGACGAAAGAGGGTTTAAGCGCGTACAGAGCAGCACGACGAGCGCTATCGCAGTGAGGGCAATAGCGGCAAGCGAGCGAGCCATGGCGACGACGGTAGGGCGCGGCACGAGAAAGGAAGCAGCTTTTATTTATAAAAACAGTCGCCTCGACTCGTACGAGAGGGTGGGTTTTTGAAGGCTGGAGTGGACTGAGCGTGAGTGGGGAAAATAGAAGAAGCTGGGACTCCCAGTCTGGCTGCCTTTGCTGAGTGATTGTTGCTTCAGGTGCTCGCTCCAGTTGTTCTTGCTTCCGTCTTTCCTTCACCTTCCGCTTTGGTCGGCTCCTCTGTCCATTCCTGCGCCAATAGCCTATCACCGATTCCCTCAAACATCGCGTCGATTCCACTGTATATATCAGGTGCATTCCCTTCCCCGCGGGTGTTTGTGCAATCCCGACTACTGTTGGTACACACGTGCCGCAACAGAGCCTTGTAGTGTCTCGCCACTCAAATCACTGTAGTAGCTGACGGAAATCTTGCCCCCTGACACCCACTGACGGAAATCAAACAGAAAAACAGCCATCTGGCACGCCCTCCCGCACACCAAACCTGCGGGGGCAACGCCCGCGTAATTGCAAGCGGGAAATTCTCCACAACATCCGTCGCGTAATCTTGACTGGGCTGGAAAACCTAAGGACGCGTCACCTCTCCGCGGTCGGCAGTGGTTCGGGGCTATGTACCGAGCCTGTACATCTTGACTATCGATGTGCAAATCTGCAAATCTGCTACCCTGCACCCCAACCGAGCCCGATGTGACAGGTTCGGAAGGGCAGGATCCAAGGTTGGGATGCCCCAATTTGGTTTATCGCATACCGAAGAGTAGGCGATGAAATGTCTGACCTGGATATTGCAGCTAGCAAATCACGCGTGTGTGTAGATTTTCGCGTGGTTCCCCCTTGAGATAGGCGGTGTTCTGTTGCCCACGGCCCATGAGGGGCGGATAGCCAGCACAGCAGCAGCTGTGCGAGTAACCTGGAGCCCCAAGGATGGCGCGGAACATCCTCCCTGCCACCCTCCGCGCAACTCCAGGGCAGAGGCTCTTTTTTTGGTTGCAGACCGTCAAACCTTTTATCTCGATGAGAATTGGTTAGTTGGATGGCCTGACAGCAAAACGGCCAATCACGACAAACAAAACGTTTATCCCTGCCCTTAACTACTTGTGCTGTCCCTGGGCGCTGTTCTGTTGCCGCATTGGCTTTGCGGCAACAAACGCATAGCCCCCCAAAATTCCATTTCAAGGGCGCGTTCCTTAAAACAGGTTCGGGACCCTGAACTCCTTCCCGAACCTAACCAGTGCTGTGCTGTGCGCATGTGACTAATGCGGGCAAAAGAACGCTGAACCCGCAATGCGCTCGGAACCTACTTCGAATTTTCTTTCACGGGCAAACTGGATGCGCCGCATTGCAATGTCAATCCCCACGACGATGGGGGATTCAGGCACAGCACGAGCGCACCCGGGCAGGCAGTATCGCCTGGGCAGGCATTAAAAATATGAAAGGCCAATCAGCATCCTCGAATATTCCACGGTCTAGTGCCGCCAAAAAATGTTGACGTTCGGAAATTTTCGACGAGCATGCGTGGCTTCAACTGTTTTGATGCTTCAACGAACGTTCCTTCCGCACCCGCTGTGCTGTGCAGTGCGGTTCTCGGCCAAAAGGCCAATGCGGCAACAGAACAGCGCCCTGGATCCGCTCTCTGTGAGAGGCCGGGTTTGCACAAGCAACGCATCCAGTTTGCCTGGGGGTGGGGGATAGCACTCCATAAAGAGTAAACCGTTCTTGTGCGCTAAAATTCACGCACAGCACAGCACCCGTTAGGTTCGGGATGGGGTTCAGGGTCCCGAGCCTGTCCCAAGGAATACGCCCTCGTATTTGAAACTTCGAGGATCACCGGAAGAAGCTGACATGAAGAATCAGAGAGAATTACTCTAGAACCTTGTTCGGTGATTCGTCCTTACTCGGGTGGCCTCTAATTACTCGAGTGGCCACCAAATTTGGTGATAATTACTCGAGTGGCCACGCCAGGGGATTTCTGCTGGCTTTTTTTTTCCCGGCGCATTACCCTATAGGGCTTTGTAGCCCCGAAATTCCTCATTCGTGCGAGTGGCATCCCGAGGTAGTGTTTCGTACTGTTCCGCACCCGAAAATTTCGCCAGGGTCACGGACGCGAACGTGGCCCGCCCACTGTACTGGAAACCGACAAATTTTCCAGCCAGCAATAGTTGCGCGACCAATTTCGGCCAAATGCGCGTCCAATGGGCGCTGGGTCAAACAAATCCGGAACCAATCAGCGATCGTGCATATTACTCCCCGATCATATACTTCTATTGAACCGAAACGAACCGCCACAGCAATAACGACCGCACAATATTGGTCAATTATATGCGCGGTGAAATTGTTGCCATTGCGCGTCCAATCAAGAGCAATAATTAAGGATTGCGATCATATTAGACCGCGGTCATTAAACACATTTTACTATATGATCCCGCCAATCATATACACTCGCACAAATGTTACACTCCGGCCAATTAGGTTCGAATTTAGGCGCTCAATCTGGTTTGGTAGGCCCTTTTCATCTTCCCGCGCTTTATCATTTGATCCATATGCTACAGATCGCTCACACCATTTCCTCTCGTCTTTTTAGGGTTGACATCTACCATATCATTTGATTAGACCAGTTAGGTCCTCATAGGAGGTTCTTCTAGGAGGTCTTTCGGTTAGAACGTTCATATTAGCCGCAATGGGTTCTATGTCTTATACTTCTAACACCGAGTCCGACTCAGGCGATGACGACACAGAGTTTTGCTTTGTTGGAACTGGAGAGCCCAAACAAAGTGACATGTACCGTGCGTTGCTCCGGGAAATGGTCATCGACAAGGCCCCCTCGCCACAAATTGTCATACACGATCGAGCACCGTTGTGTGAAGGTCAACTATACTCCTTTAAGAAATTTTTGTACGAAGCACTGGAAGACTATTTGGTAGCTTGCAACTTCGGATTTAGGGTTACGAGGAGTAGGCGAAACAGAGCCCAGGCCATATGCATGAGTCAACATGAGCGTCGTAGACCTGCGTGCCGGTGGCGGTATGAGTACTCTACTGACGGAGTGGGTGGGTTTTGGCGTGTTGATAAACTGTCCGCCCCATCCTCCCATTGCTGCTCTCTCGTTGATCGGGACCGCTACATGCGGCACACAACAAATAAAGTGTCTTATCTGCAGCGTCATCATGGCAATCTTGTCCAAGCTGCACCACATCACCCTCCCGGGACGTACAAGGAACAGATTGCGTCTACCGGTGGTCCCGATATCCATTATCAGCAATCATGGCGGTAAGTTTTCTAACATTATCTCCATGTGCTGCCATTGTCACATGCACATTCTTAAACACCCCATCCACCTCATGCCTGTGCTACCTACCTTTGTTTTCTTGCACATCGTTGTCCGTCATTGCAGGCTCAAGGAAAAGATGCTGAAGGAACGTTTCGGAGATTGGAAAACTTCTTTCCGGTACATTCCTCGGGTGTTGGAACGCTTCAAAGAGATCGACCCTGATGCAACGCTCGACCTGGTTGTCAGATTTATATGACATAGCTACTGTAGGCTATAGTGGGGTAGCACATATAGGGTACAGTTGTCTAGGGTATGCATTTTGTACCCAACTTTCCCTTAGTCAATTCATTCTCGTTCAGTTTCTCATGGTATCGAGCAGGTTCCCCTGTGGGAACTGTTCCTAGGGCCCACCACCTTTTTTTTCCTGCCCGGAGTGCGCTCTACACTGCCCGAGTCGCGCTCCCCTCTCTCGACCCTGTCGCGCCGCCTTAGCGGCCCCGTCGCGTCGCACTTGCGGCCCCGTCGCGTCGCCCTTGCGGCCCCTTCACGTCGCGCCGCCCTAGCGGCCGCGTCGCGCCGCCCTCGCGGCCCCGATCCGCCGCCCTCGCGGCTCCGTCGTGTCGCGCCGCCCTCGCGGCCCTTTCACGCCGCCCTAACGGCCCTTTCTAGCCGCCCTCGCGGCCTCTTCAAGCCGCCCTCGCGACCCCCCCCTCCTAGCCGCCCTGGCGGCCCCGTCGCCTACCCCTGCGGCCCCGGCGCCGCCCTTCCCTGCCTCGGCGCCGCCTCTGCTGGCCCCGTCGCCTACCCCTGCGGCCCCGTAGCTGCCCTTCCCGGCCCCGGCGCCGCCTCTACTGGCCCCGCCGCCGCTCCACCCGGCCCCGACGCCGCTCCACCCGGCCCCGCCGCCGCTCCACCCGGCCCCGCCGCCGTCCCCACGCGGCCCCGCCGTCACCACCGAGCCGCCGGCGCCGCCGAGCTGCTGCCGAGCCGCCCGATCCACCCGAGCCGCCCGAGCCGCCGCGCCACCTGAGCCGCCCGAGCCGCCGGGTCGCCGAGCCGCCGAGCTGCAGTTGCTGCCGAGCCGCCGTACCGCCAAGCCGCCCGAGCCGCCCGAGCCGCCGAGTCGCCGAGCCGCAGTTGCTGCCGAGCCGCCGTACCGCCGAGCCGCCCGAGCCGCCCGAGCCGCAGAGTTGCCGAGCCGCCGAGCCGCCGAGCCGCCCGAGCCGCCCTGTCCGGTAAGAGCAGCGCCTCTGTCACTGCACTGCCCTTACCCTACTGTTCGCACTGCTAGTCTACTGCTGTCATGGCTACCCCTAGTGTCCTCGCTTTTGACGCTGAGGGTCGGGCCATTGACTTTGACGTCTGGGTAGATGACCTGCAGCTTTTCCTACAGTGCGATAGGGCAGACGGTCTCTCCCTCTTTGACCTCACCTCTGGTGCCTCTCCTGCCCCTGCTGCTGATGCCGACGCCACTGTTCGCTCACAGTGGGCCACACGCGATGCTGCTGCACGTCTTGCTGTGCGTCGCCACCTGCCTACCTCTGAGCGTGCGCACTTTAGCCAGTACAAGAGTGCTCAGACCTTGTACGACGCTGTAGTTGCGCGCTACTCCTCCCCTGCCACTGCTGCACTGAGCCGCCTCATGCTACCGTACCTCTTCCCTGACCTTGCTGCCTTTCCCACAGTCGCTGACCTCATTACGCACCTCCGCACTAG